CTCACGAACACACTAGATCTCCTGTTAGAATGCTTTCTTCAGCTTAGTAACCTACTTACGAATTGTTGCCATTGGATGAACCATAGTCGAAGAAGTTGCGTCGATCGTTGCTCAAAAAAGTTGAACACCCATAAATCATGTCGAACGATACTGACAAATGTCCTGTGCAAGTCTAGCAATAAAGTCGAATCGTACTCTATTTCGGCTAGGATTGAAGGGTTGGAACCGCGCGGCTGGAGAGCTCGCGCCGCCAGCCGTCCCCATACACTGAAGCTAGACCCACGATGCGGCGTACCTAAGAAGAGGATCGCTTTGATATGTTCGGTAACGTGGCTTGGGCCTCGACGTGCATAGCTTTGAACAAGTGCCTACCATGGTCAGATTTCGCGACTAGAGAAGAGCATTTGCCACTTACCTGCTTGATCACTAGACCCCCATAACTGTATTCCACAAAAATCAGGTCCCGGCTTCGCTCCTGGAGGCCGGGCCGTCAGCAGCAATCCAAAGTCGTATACATTGTCATTACTCACCTGCTCGGACTCCCGGATCTGCTTGATGTGCTGAAGGAGAACATTGGCAAGATGCGAGAGCCGTGTGTGTATTGCATCCCTCTTCCAGTATGAATCATAGTTATAGAAGAACATGCGGATATCTCGGGTCGCTGTATGCAAATCGTTGGGAAGGAAGTCGCTAACCCAGGTCAAATACCGCTCACTATCCGGCAGGGCTTCTTCGGGTACATCAGACCTCGCTCGCCACGTCGTGTCGGGGTTAGATCCAAGGCCATGGACGAAAACGATACTAGGCGTGTCAGAAATGTTCCAATTAACTAGCGAGGAATCACGCCTACTCTATCCCTCCGGCACGGACAGGTGAACTATGCGGCCCTGCCGGGACAAGCCCAAATCTCGATTTTGGGGCTTGACGGGGGTCGACCCGGGTCGGAATCTTCTTCGTGAGTTGGTCATAGAGGAACGCGATCATAAGGAGAAAGACGACAAGGTACGTGATCATGTCATAGAATAATGCCATTGAGAGAAAGAGGATGGAGAAAATCGCAATTGTTTCTTTAGATCCGTCAGCCCCACTTCACTAGAGGGGTCGGTCCGGTCAATTGTTGTAAAGGACCAGGTGGGAACAGAGGAGCAGATACGCATAAAATGTACAGAAACAGTTTGTCGATAATCGTGCGATGCAGTTGCAGTACATTAAAGCAAAGTGTAGTACTGTCACTCATTGTTCTCGATGTCGAGGCTGTACCGGCTGCAGCTGACCTGTTGTAGCCTAAGGCAGCCACATACCCGGCGCCGTCCGAGGTGTTGCCGCTTCGTGCCTTGTCGAACACCAATGGGCTCGAAATACAAGGCACCTGCTGCTCACACCCTTACGTTCGCCAACCTCGCTGTCGTGCCTGACACACGATGGCTATTTCTACAGGCTCTCAGACTCCGTTCCCGCAGTCATGTGCTCCGAACAAAGAACTTTTGAAGCCTTCTGATATCAGCATACCAACCCCTACACATCTACATGAGAACGATGCACATTATATAACACATATACCTGGAGATCCCGCAGTTAATCTTCTACTCGACGAAGTCCGCGACTATTTGTCCAATCAACTGGAAACTCCACTCCTGAACGAACTTTACGATCAACTTTGGCTAGTTGCCAGGAAATCCGGCCAAAACATTGACGCGCTCCATAGGCAAAGAGTCAAGGGCCGAAGCCTTGTCCCTGCGGAAGACCCTAGACTTCATCTCGTCTGGGGCGGCGACAAAATCTACATAAAGCCCATTCCAGTTTTCCTCCTCAACCATGATTTTTGGACTATGTATCTACACCCTAGGATGGGGGAAACTTCTGCGCCGTATTCCCAAGGACTTTCCCAAGCTGCTACTTCAGCCTTCGACCGCTCGGTTGCACTAGGGTTTTTGCGGTCATATGCGTTGCTCGTACCGCATCGCCTCGACTTCATGTTGGTAAAGGAGTCTTATCTGATCCCTGAGGATGTCGACTGGCTCCTGTGGTCAAGTTTCATTCGCCACTTTCGCGACCTCGGAGACGAGAGCGTTGCAAAGCGGTACCACTACGGACAGCTACGTCTCTCGCGACTGGACTGGGCCGTCCGAATATTTCGTCCCCAGCACACCAGCACGATCTGGTTCTACGAAATTCCTCAGTGGTCTCACACCGATTTCGTGGCGAGAGCGACCCTGCCTTTGCTTTTCGTGATTGCCAGTGTTTCCCTCGCTGTTTCGTCGATGCAAGTTGCTCTCTCTGTGCCAGGAGATGAGCTATGGCCTCAAGGACTCAGCGAATCTGGAAAACGAGATATGCAACGGGCGTTTTGGATGTTCTCCGTTGTCGTGGTACTATTGTGGGTAGGCTCGATTTATGGGACAGTGAGAGGTCTGGAAGTCGATGGCTCTGAGTAACCATGTAGCTAGCTATTCGGCGACGGATTAGGAGTATTAGCGTTAAGCTATAACTTGGATTTTATGTTCCCGTTGAAGGAGCAAAAGGAGGGCACATATGCCTAACCTGTATGTATTGTAGCTAACTCTGGTCCTCTCTTCGAGGGTCTATGTATGGAAACAAAAGGGTTCTTATATAGTCAATGAATGGTAGACTTGCTGATTAATTCAGACAAGTTGTAGAAGCATATAGATAAGTAGGGAATGTTCTATCCTTGCCACATTTCTCGTAATAGAGGTATGTGGGGATGGTCGCCGTTCTAGGTGGCGATAGTGGCAAGTATAGGACCCACATGGCCCACAGGGCCCATATTGTCCAACTCTATATTAAAGGTTGAAAATCCCCTTCGTTAGTAATTACTAGAATAGCCTACGTATTTGTAGGTATTGCTTGTTCGTTTAGTCTTCGGCTAAGAGCATCTACTCTTCTGTTTTCGCTACCTTTATAATAACGTGAATGTACACCGAGCTGGCCACTTTCATGCGCCAACGCGACCGGCCAACTTAATCTTTGATTTTCTTAACAAACAATTATGGCAAAGTCATACAACGAAGCAGACTTGATACTGGCCCTTCAAGCTCTCAAAAATGACCAAAAACTTAGTCTCCGATAAGCGGTAAAAACGTACTAAGTCCCCCGAAGTACCCTCCAAATGCGTAAAAACGGCGTACCTTTCCGACGCGATATTTTGCCCAATTCACAAACTATGACAGAATTAGAAGAGGAGGTTATTATTAAGTATATACTGGACTTAGATACACGAGCGTTTCCGCCCCGGATTGCTGATGTGGAAGTAATAGCAAATTCTATCCGCGCGACACGTAACGCAGGGCCGATTGGAACGCGCTGGGCCTCGAGGTTCGTCGCACGCAAATATTTTCTCAGCTGTCGACCAGTTTGCGAAGGGAGCAAAAATGATAATGCACGAGCTCGCCCTCGTACGGGCCGAGTGCGCTGAGCTTCGAGAGGCAAATAAGATGCTAAGCCGGCGCCGGAGGACTAAAAAAATGCAATTACGGGAAGGAGAATCACTTATTTTCCAAGAAGGACAGGACCTACGGGACTCTAGGGAGTTGGCGACGCAGATACAGCAAGAAGAGCGCCGAAATGGTGGTCGCGCAAAGCGTGTTGAAACGCGTCCGAGGCGCTGTGGTATTTGCAACGGGACTGGGCATAATGCGCGAGCTTGTAAGATCGCATTGCCATCTTCTGGAGAGGAAGATTCAGAGTAGTTTCAATTGATTTACGGCGTTGTGGTTTTACTATCGTAAAATTTCTATACGAGGTTATGTAAGGGTAGCCAGCTCGGTGTACATTCACGTTAATTCGCGATTTCAGAACTCATTAGTACTTGGGCAGCCTCCGGCCTTTGTAGAACTAAACGAACACTCACTGCTTGCTTTATCGATTGAATCTGCTTAGAGAACTTGTCGACACAGTAGTCTCAAGACTTCCGGATGCGAAATAAAGAATCGAGATGCAGCTATATTCAATTTTACAAAACAACCTAGATGACTGGTCGTGGTCGTAGTTGAGCAACTGCAAAGATATTGGTGCCACCGGCTTTTGCCAGATGTATCAGTTCAATTTCGTTGTCTATTCCTTTCCATGAACAGCCTGTGCACACATTGCGAATTGCGACTTTTGCAAAGTAACTCAAATTCATGAACTGTATTCTTAGACTGTACTGGCGGGGCTGTTTCCTGCTTGCTAGACACAGGAGTTACATGTCCTCTAGAGTGCCGTGTCTATTTTTTAGTTCCATAATTTCGAAGTCCAGATGAAAATCTGCAAAATAGGTACGCCTGACTATGTGCTGGATGCGATGCGAAGTCTGAGACGTGCTTTCAAAGATGGGCTTTACAAAGAGCCGCAACGTTAATTCCAAAGTCTTGCTCCCATGCCGAGTTTTGAACCTTGCGTTTACAGTCTTCCGGTTTCTTTGATTATGCAGAGTGCATCGATCCAAACATAATGTCTCGGCTGCGGCAAACGGTAACGGATCCTTGCATAATAGGAGCACGGTGGTGGAAGATATTCTCATCACCAGGGAGCCGATATTCCGAATGGTTATTTTAAGCTGTCTTGTAGCTTGGTATGGCGGTCCCCCGGCAATAACTGAGGGCAGCATACATAGCGCTCAGCGCAACCCCCCAAACTCCTTTTCAGGACAAAACGCAGTTTTTATCGGTTGGGCTCTGGAAGTTAAATCAATCGTGTTGGTACACAATCAGGGGAGTCTTAAGTCGACAGATCCTAGCGCAATAATCCAACTGGGATCGTATCAGGTCAATATTTCCCTGGCACCAGACGGCGTCTCTTGGAGAGAAGTATAATTTGAGCCAGGACGCCACTGAAGCTGTTACCGTGCGCTCAAGTACACGACTCGGCGAATTTGACTCTACATTGAGGGGCAAGTTCCATTTACTTCCATCCTCATGCTATACCACTTTCAGGAGACTCAAAGGGGCTAAGGAGTTAACCTTCAGTCGTAATCTACATGTAAGCTACTTCTTTCGAGACGGTCATCTGGAGCTCTTGGACCAGTATCTCATGAAGCCACAACAAGCACATTCACAGTCTTCGGATTGTTTGAGCCATGACTGTTCTGGAATATTGTCTTGAATCTCATATCCACTTGGTATGAATCCACCAAGTCCAAGTCCAAGCCCAGGAAGCACTACTTCCGGAAACCCATTCTTGTTGACCACCCAAGTCCCCCCTACTAAAGTCGAGGCTAATTTCTAATCGTCGAATTGTACGCAACACTTACATGTACTTCGGGACTGTAGAAGAGCCAGGACTTGAGCAGTTTCTTTGCAACGTCGGAAGAAACAATAATTAATACAAGTCGCCGCATAGAAGGTAAATAAATGAGCATTTCTACTGAAACCAAAATCAACTCTCCTCCCTTTCCCGAACTCATACCCGCATCTCGACACTATTTACTCTGCTGCCCTGAGTAAGCTCAACCTCTTCCTCCTCTTGCCGCCCCTCAGCCCCTTGATACTTAGTCCCCTCCCTCATCCCGCTCAATTCGAACCTCAACACAGCCCGACACGCAATACTACTCACCATATACCTCGCCACAATCGTGACCGAGTCCACGACACTAAAGAACAACATGCTCGACAATACCAGCGTCCCAAGAACCATGTGCGTCACGGTTCCCACGCCCAACAACCACGTAATCATCTCAAACAACGCATTCTCTCCCTCCCGCCACTGCAGCTTCTTGGGCGACTGAAACGCCGATGGCACCACCTCCTCTGGCACCCACTCCCCGAACCCCGTGCCGCGCCTCTCGACATATTTCTTGTGCCCCCCCTGCACCCTCACAACACGCACACGCAAATGCAGAGACAAAACGCCGGCGAGATGGATCAGCACAGCAAAGAACGTCCACAGAGGCAGCAAAAACACCGTCTCGGGCGCAAACACCACAATAGCATGCACGCCGAGCTGGTACGCCAGCATGACTACGTTCGCCACGGCGCCTCCGGCGACTAGATATTCTAGCACACTAATCACAGGCCTCCACGCCGGCGGCACAGCTCCGAGACTCCACCTCGGCAGAACAAGATGAATCGTCTCGGCCCCCTCCACAAACCTAGCCACCGTCTCCGTGAACTCGCTCCCCTTCATCATGTCCACTGCAGGACTTCCCGCCGCGAGCAAAAAAGCCAGGCCGGGTCTTCTCAAACCCAGTAACTGGTCTCAGCGGCGGTGCTGCCGAGCCCCATGAGGATGGAAGGGAGTAGACCTAGGATCACGGCGCTGGCGGTTAGTTCGGCCTTGCGGAATTCGGGGAATTGCGAGAGGATGCACTCGATGACGGGGGTGACGAGGGAGGACGATCCGGCGTTGAAGTCGACGTTGCCTGTTCGGTAGGGGGCGTAGGGGGCGGAGCAGTTTTCGCGGAGGAGCTCTTGCAGCATGCTGTCCCAGCCGGGGAAGAATTGGTCAAATTGGTGGGTTGGGGCTGCGACGACCGGGGGCGCAGCTGTGCTGAGAAGCGCGAGGGCCGCAAGGGTGGTGAGGTTGAATTTCATCTTGGGCGTTCAGGATGCGGAAAGGACATTTCTCTGGGTTGAGGAAGTAGGCATGTCACGGTGAAATCCAAACACGCCTATGTTGAAAAAAGAAATAAGTCTATCAGAAACTGCAAGCTCGACGAGAGAAAGACGTAAACAACGAACTTGCGACCCACTGCGGCACGACTCTGGTATTTAAAGCTGCCAACCCGGTTATTCACTATGCCTACTGGCGAGCCTTGACATGCCGTGTTTTGGAACAGTCTGCCCTGCTAACCCATCAGCCGCACTTGTCTTGTAGAAGAAGGAAACATTACCCAAATAGGACGCGCAAGTCGCGAATAGCTGCCGCGAAAAGCGGAAGGATTGGGGTTTCCTGCACGGGATGGGTTGGTAAGTCAAAGACAAAATTTACCGTGGTTGACAGATGACCTGATTGATTTGAATGATCGTCGTCTCGGCCGGGACTCTAACATGTGGTTAGGGCTGACAATATCGTGCTGGTCTGTGATCGAAGTGAGAGGGAACTATCCGCAAAGCTCTAGGAATAGACACGCGCTTGACTCGGAAAATGACGACCATGTCATCGCAGCTATCTACGGAGTTCTCATCATGAGTTCAAGCTCAACTTTCAATCAGTAAGACATCCTGACATATACGACAACATGTATATATAATAGATATCCAAATATAGTTTATGTCGTTCCAGATATACATGATCCTCTGTGCCCGGCTTCAATATCTGCATGCGTCCCAAGTTCCCCTGAACGCCTTTATTCACACTACAATGAGCATGTCTAAGTCTAAAAAAATATCGTGTAAAGCTTAGAATATGTGTTGATACCACAGCATCATTGAGAGGCATCGGGTGCCGAGAGAGCAGTCTCCAGCTCGAATTGAAATCACCGAAGGGATATTTTCGGACTTCGTTGGTCAGTGCCCGCGCAGAGACCTTGTATATGACAGTGACTGGATTGGCCTAGAACCAAGTCGTCGGTTAGATACCCAACAGGATGACAGCAGCTAGAGCGGGAACCACCAGTCCGATGGGTAACTGGATCCGGCCCGCCGCTGACGTGGGCTCGACACCAGTCGCTTTGCCGCCGAGATACCAGGAGCCAATATCGGTCAACTCTCCCGCATTGTTCAGCATGACGGCATTGGGGCCGACGTTGCTAACTTTCGACCGGAAGGAACCGAACAAGCTGTACCGCTCAACGGCATCAACCCGGTCAAAGTACTCTGAGGACATGTTGTAGAAATCCTGCGTGGTACCGAGATCCTGGTTGTCCAAGTTGTACTCGGTGATCCACTGCGTCACATTTGGGAATCTAACGTACATATCAGTATGCCGATGGGATCGTAAGCAGTGGAGCAACTTACGCAGCGGAGTATGACCCCATGTGGCTAGCCAGGCCCTCGAAGTTGCCGTACCAGTGAATATTCACAAAGTCATATGTGCAGTTCTTCTTCTCGTCGCCAGTGCTGATGATTTTCGAGCAATTGCCCAAGAACTGCTGCAACCACGGGATTCCTCCCCATCCACCAGTGCAGGCCGGCAATCCAAGTTTGACTCCTCGGTCTGCTAATGGAGCGATGTTCTTCACCCAAACGTCTGCTGCCACTGAGGGCGCGATATTACTTCCTCCATACTGGCTCGGTCCGTCCGGTTCGTTAAAACCTAGCACATGTGTGATTTCCAAGCCGTCGTCTATTTGTTTTTCAATCGATTCACGAAACGACGTGTCGTCGATTGCACCCCAAAGCATCGGCACGAACTCGAATTGGTCCTGTGAAACATCGTCGAAGGCAACTGATGGCAAGTCCTGGTAGTTGTAGTACCACGTCAGATCGGATCCTGATTGTACCCAAACCTTGTTATCTTGTGGCCATTTCGGGTCCGGTACGAAGACTAAGCCGCGCTTCGAGGACGGGTTTTGCGCCCATGATACCGACGAGAGGGTAAGAACGAGGGTATACGAATGCCGCATGTTGGCGATGAAACGAATGACTGCAAATGAATGTACTTTTGCGGGGTTCTCCTACTATCCTACCCCTGTTACCTGGCTCTGGCGAGAATACAAGCGGTTGTCCAGGGCGGCAGGTCGACCAGCATGGACGTCGTTGGTTCTTAGGGGGCAGAGGCGGGGGACTGTAGTCGCCGCGATAGGTGACTGATCAGGATGCAAACATTTAGGACAATGCCAAACAGAGGGGGGGACTAGAAGAATAAATGAGAATGGGCCAGCCATTTTCATATTGGTGATGGAAGCCATCGCGCATGATATTTTGCGCCATAAGCTGGGCAGCTGAAGAGCCAGTCTGCTTTGGAAGGTGCCTGGCGAACACGATATTTGTTGCAGGACGAGCTAGAGCGATTGCTGCCCAGAATCCCACGCCCACGACGCCACGAATTTCCACTTTCTGGCCCCTGCGCGAGATAAGGTGCTGGGCTAGGCCCATATCCACCTTCCCGAGATCCAGAAGGTTGCATGGCGTTGCTGGGCAGTCGCTGCCTGTCATTGGGCTTCGACTTTTTGGAAATCTTGTTGAGCGAACATTGATAAGCCGGACAATCCGCCGTCGTTTGTATTAGTGTTGGAGTCTTGGGACCAAATTCCCCCTTCTCGGGTACTGCACTTGTATCATTGTGTTATAAATCGGTACCAGCGCCGTCATCGCCGACATTATGTTGGAGGCGCGCAATCGATGGCGTTGTGTCTTAGGTCGTCGCAGCGATTTTGTCGTTTGTTGTCAATTCGTCAATGACAGGGCCGTTACAGGGCAGTTAGCGCTGGCCTGAGGGACTCCGGTCCTTGCCATGATATCGTCATTGGAGTCCAATTGTTCTTCAAGAATTGATCTCATTACGTCCCAATGTTAGGCAACTTCACGAGAGAGCGAGGGACTCCAAAAATAGAAGATCCAATGTCCTGTTGAGACTTTGGTAATCAGTTGCGCAGGCGGGATGTGCTCAAAATTGGAGTTTTGGAGCTGAGTCCCGACTGGTGGGGAAGCGCCAACACTAGCAGCATAAGACTCGGCAGGGCGTGGCTGCCACTTTGCCGCACTATCGATTGCCACGAGCGGTACCTCGCCGCTTTGGCTCCTTTGCAATTGCTGACCGTTCAGTGTCAAGTTGAAAAAACATCTATCATAACGCTTTGTGCATATGCCTTGCGTAGTAAATGATATTTCCAGGATGAGGCACATAAATGAACACTAGCCTATCTACAGCAGAGGAATGATAAAAAGGGGACTGCCATTTACAGATGTTTCTCTGGATGCAAGCATTAAAATGCGAAATCGAGGATCGCAGATGATTCAGTTGAACAGGTGTCCTCACTAGTGGCTGGTTAAAAGGTTCAATGACAATTACTTTATTTGTCGAGCCCATCCAAGTTCGAACCTAGGGTAGATATATCATCTATACAGTCGGCTGGAGATACTTGTCGGGTCTAGTCGAAACCCGTGCTTGCATTCGTCTACAGCTCTCGACGAAGAAGGGTTTCAGTACTCTACCAGCCACAAGCAAGCAGAGCAGCTTCAGAGGTCCGGTCTATCTGTTCATGTAAGTATATATGCCCGCAGACATGATATTCTTAATAAGCTCAGAATCGTTAATAAACGTTGTGTGAATAACCTGAATATACACCGAGCTGGCCACCCTTACATAACCTCGCATAGAAATTTTACGATAGTAAAACCACAACGCCGTAAATCAATTAAAACTACTCTGAATCTTCCTCTCCAGAAGATGGCAATGCGATCTTACAAGTTCGCGCATTATGCCCAGTCCCTTGCAAATACCACAGCGCCTCGGGCGCGTTTCAACACGCTTTGCGCGACCACCATTTCGGCGCTCTTCTTGCTGTATCTGCGTCGCCAACTCCCTAGAGTCCCGTAGGTCCTGTCCTTCTTGGAAAATAAGTGATTCACCTTCCCGTAATTGCATTTTTTTATCCTCCGGCGCCGGCTTAGCATCTTATTTGCCTCTCGAAGCTCAGCGCACTCGGCCCATACGAGGGCGAGCTCGTGCATTATCATTTTTGCTCCCTTCGCAAACTGGTCGACAACTGAGAAAATATTCGTCGGAGAGCTATTCTAATGCTCGGAGATACGCTTTTCCAAAAAAGTAGACTGTGCATGAGCCTCTATCGGGTTCTGTGGCGTCTTTGATACCCACGGTCGGGTTGCGATTTCTGGGGAGCCAACAGGCGTCGGGGTCCGTAATTGTACGTCCAGCTTTGAAATCACACTTTCTGGATTAAATAGAACAAGTCCTGCCCTTCTAAAGCCAGCTTGAACGTTTTTTTCGCCGAAAACTGCAAAGAAGGCGTCTTTGAAGATAGGAAAGAAGTCCTCCTTCGCGATATATATTAGTGACCGGCGTATCAATTTCTCTACCATCTGGCAGTACACCCGCTTTAATGGACCGAAACAGGCCACGTCAAGTGGCTAGAGGATGTGAGATGAGTACGGAGGCATACACAAAGTTACAATTTTATGTTCTTTACAATATAGCTCGAAATCGCCGGAAACGTAGCTCTCGTGACCGTCTAACACTAACAATCGATATATCCCGGACTTTCGATCTTTCGTATAATTATCGAAGTGTTTAATGAATTCCATACAGATCTCGTTAGTCGTCCATCCTTTTGGACTAGGTCTAGTTCTCTAATCTTTCGGAATATTGTCGTCTTCGTACCAAGAAGAGAGGTGGTATCGGCCCGCAACAACGATAAACGGCGGCAGCGCCCAACCGGTAGACTGGACCGCTTGGATTACGGTAACCCATTCCCGGTTACCTTGCTGTATTGATTTCGGCCTGGCACGTCGTTCGGAGCTCGTAACTACTATATTGGTTGAGATCTTGCCCATCATAAACCCAGTCTCGTCGAGGTTGTAGATATCCGACTCTTGGATACCGTATTTCGCGATAACATTCGCAACAAGCCGAAACTAATCTGCAATAAGCTTTGGATCTTCGCATTGGGCCCTCTAGTAATCGTAAGGACGGTTCTAACGAGTTTTCAACTCTTTACGACGTGCGACGAACCTCGAGGCCCAGCGCGTTCCAATCGGCCCTGCGTTACGTGTCGCGCGGATAGAATTTGCTATTACTTCCACATCAGCAATCCGGGGCGGAAACGCTCGTGTATCTAAGTCCAGTATATACTTAATAATAACCTCCTCTTCTAATTCTGTCATAGTTCGTGAATTGGGCAAAATATCGCGTCGGAAAGGTACGCCGTTTTTACGCGTTTGGAGTGTACTTCGGGGGACTTAGTACGTTTTTACCGCTTATCGGAGACTAAGCTTTTGGTCATTTTTGAGAGCTTGAAGGGCTAGTATTAAGTCTGCTTCGTTGTATGACTTTGCCATAATTGTTTGTTAAGAAAATCAAAGATTAAGTTGGCCGGTCGCGTTGGCGCATGAAAGTGGCCAGCTCGGTGTCATGGCCAGCTCGGTGTACATTCACGTTCTATCATTTGATCTTTTACAGTGCCATATATGTATGTCCGAGCTGAACATGTATATAAATTAGTCTACAACATACAGTGATTATCTGAGAAAGATCTAAGATATACTCGAAAGTTCTAGCATCTATAGAAAAGTCCGCACAACAACACCTGGTGAACCTTCCCACAAAGCTCTAAAGTACAGTAGATGAACTTTGGAGATCAGATCTAATCGCACACGGGCCAGCTAGGGTCGAGCTGAGCTATAGCCCTTAGGTAAGGTTTCCGCCAACCACATTATGGGCAACTACCCAAGCTTTAACAGAATCAACTTTGGAGCTCCAACCTATTTAGTCTTTGTCACCACCCTCCAGATAAATAACACATGTCATGTATTATACAATCTCGGGCAATATACCATATTCTCCTAGCCATTGCGAAGCCTGTTATCGGGCTCGACCGTTGATTTCACTGGGGCACTCAGCATGCACCCAACCACCCACTGTGGAACAAAAGCTTCAACTTGCGGACGATAGTCCGGTAATGGAATTCGTTGAGGCCAATGTAAGAGATTGATATCCATTTACGGAAACGAAGAGCGATGATATGGACAAAGACAAATTCAGCGTCGACTGATTGGCAAGATTCTCATATTGCTGCGAACAATACTCACTGCTTTACGCAGAGCAATAAAGAGCCTGAAATACCGCTAACTCTCACGGGCCAATGGAAAACTGTCGAGAACTTCCTGGCTGAAGGCTATACATACTATGGCGGCTCTTCCCATTGGCATAAAGCCAGATATATTCCAGAGGGAATCGGACCCCACCGCTACCACTGAAATAATCATGGTTCTCGACTAAATCAACCACCTGTCACGACTTCATCGGTTCACAAACGAGAGCAATTGCTAGCTTTGTGGAGTCGAGTAGACACTGTAGATATGTGGCATACAGCTTTTTACCAGGGACTAAACCATTCTGGGCTTCTCTCACGGTGAGATATCCTGACTATATATAATCTACTATCGCCAAACCGCGAGTTCAACCAGACGGGCGATCTGACGTTTTCTCCGTCGACCAAACCACAAGTATGGTGTCAGACCTTATAACTACCAAGAATACCTCATTCTACAACGAGTGGGTCCCTCGTCTTTTGATGGTCAATTTGGTCCAATATATGGTCACTCACAGCGGCGTGAACCAGTATCGCACCCTATCGAAGATGCTGGCCATTTTTACCGGCGGACAGGAAGACATTCCGGTCGATACGTTAGAATACACATAGCTGGTTGAGTCCTGTTTTTCGTATGCTTCATGACCCCGACGGAATTCTTACTATGTTCCGCAGTTCACCTAGGCTTACGAGAAGTGAGAGCATAAATACATGTCAAGTCAGGAGGATCGTGGAGTTCTATAGCATGGAATGGAGACCAGTATAGTTCTATCGTAAAAGCGGTTTCATAAATTCCTGCATTTGTCCTGGTTAACAGATATTCTATTCAGAATACGACCTCCCCAGTAAAATTACGTATATATCTATTTCTCAGCCCACTGTGAAATACTGTGTTGATGTCAAGCTTATGGTCATCTCTAAGAGCGCAGTAGAATAAATGATTACCGAAGGCCTGTGTGACAAACCCGTAACGTCGCTATTTGAGAACCGTTGAGTTATGTGCAGACCAATGGTCGCATAATGAGATTTTGTACCTGTGCAAAAATAAACCTAGAGCTACCTAGGGACTGAACCGACGCCTGTGCTGTTATTGGTGACGCTGCTTATTCAGATGTAAGCTAAAACCAAAGCTACTTGCGCCAAATTATACCTCCGCACCCATACCACTGCTTACCCCAAAGCATAAGCCGTTATACCATTTTGTGCCTTCATTATGACATTGCCCTCTCTTTTACCTGACCATCGTTCCATCGTCTATTCTACGATCAGGCCACGCTTCGCGTCCTTAGCCATGATACCAACGAGACTCTTCTCGGGAACGGGATATGAAGGTCTCCCACCAAGCATATCGACAATGTCCTTCATATACATCCAATGGGCCGACTTGGGTCGGCGGTTCTTCCAGTCCGTTTGGATTTCCAAGTCTGTGATAGCCGAGAACACGACCGCGGCTCCCTGAATACCGATGACTGATGCAGTCAGAGGATCTTTCTTGATCTTCTGTATGTCGTGTTGGGCCTTGGGCCCAAACTGCTCGAGGTGCTTGACGCACTTGATAGCAAGACGGACAGCTCGGCATCGATCGATAGGGGAGGGGATATCTCCTTGCTGAGTGTGACCGGGATTACTTTCACGGGCCTGGAATCGACCGTGTCCTTCGTCGTGGATGTAGTCAGCGATAGCTTTGGCGGTGTGGACTTTGCTGGCTGTCTCGTTGATGAGGATTAATCTGCCTGCTCTGGCCTTGCCCTTATCCTGTTGGAAAACATCGCGAAGATGCCTTATGTCGGCGACAATCATATCCATTGACAGGCCCTCTTCAGGAGTATAGACAGCTGTGGCACCACTGGTAAGGCCACCAATCATCGCAAGCCAACCGGATCTGCCACCCTGGGTTTCGCACACAAAGACTCGTCTGCGGGACGCGCTGGCCGACAACTTCAACTTATCGGCAAAAGCGATGAGCTCGTTCAACGAAGTGTCAGAGCCGAGAGAGTATTCCGAGCCGGGAACGTTGTTGGAAATGGTGGCCGGCAAAAGCGTGATGGGGATGCACAAGGAGGGGTACTTGTCTCTCGCCTTCTCGAGTTGCAAAACGGAGTGGAAAGCCTCAAAGCCACCAATGAGGAAGATAGCATCAAACTTGTACTTCGCAATGAGATTGGCGATCAACTCCATGCCAGATTCTTCCGGAAGCTCGCGGTTTGTTCCTATCTCAGAACCACCCCAGGTCGCCCACGTGTCGACTTCCAGCCAGTCGAATGGTCGCACAGAGGAATCTTCATCGGCGTGGTGTCTTGCGAATCCGGCAAATCCGTTATGAATAGCCACAGGTTCGTGCCCACGCGACAGGCAGTAAGCCACAGCTGCACGGAGTGCGGCGTTCACACCGCCCGCCGGAGCTCCAATGGTGATGAAACCAATCTTCATTCTCTGCAAAGTGTCAGTGGGAGTGGATGATGGGGCATGGGGAAGAACGAACCTTTTCAGCCGACAGAGTCATATCCTCGCCGGTGTTCATGTTGCTGGTAATCATGAAGGAGTTGTACATGTCTGCAAATTCGGTATCTCGCAGTTTCACTGCCTTCTCGAAGTCTTGTGCTTTAATAACTTCGGCAACTTCCTTGGTCGCTTGTACTGCAGCCATCAGGGGCTTCCGGACAATCTTGTTTTCGTTGATGGCGATGAAACAGGTCTCGGTCTCGGGGGTTGCCTCCAAGACGGCATGGACGGCCTCGACACCCTGCAGCGTTGCCAACATGCGATCGTGTGCCACAGGCTTGCCACCGCGTTGAGGGTGGCCCACGATGGTAACTCGTGTGTCGAGGTCAAGACCGTGTGGGTCGGATAGGAGATCCTTCACCATATCCGTGGTGATCTTCTTGCCGTAACGATCCTGTGCACCTTCGGCCATGACGACAATGGTCTGGTGCTTGCCCTCGTCTCTGTGCTTCTTCACGATGCTGCACATTTCCTCCTTCCAGTTGTCCTCTCGGGGTTGCTCCGGGATGAAGATGAAGTCTGCCCCCGATGCTACACCAGCCATCAGAGCGAGCCAGCCGCAATGCCTACCCATTACCTCAATGACGAAGGCGCGGGAGTGGGAGTCTGCAGTATCCTGGACCCAGGAAATCACTGTGGAGATGCGGTCAAGGGCGGAATAGCAGCCGATGGTGGCGTCTGTGCCCGAAAGATCGTTGTCGATGGAGCCAACGAGTCCTACGATGTTCAGGTGCTTGTGGGGTACGATCTGCTGCGCCGTGAGCTCGCCCTTGGAAACAAGCTCCTCGAGCAGAGATGGCCATTCGGCTCGGAACCTGTCTGCACCTGTCAAAGACCCGTCGCCTCCGCAGATGATGATGGCGTCAATGCCATTGATCACCATGTTCTTGGCCGCCGTCAATCTTCCGGGACGCTCGTAGAAGGCCTTGCATCGTGCGGTTCGGATCGGAGTGCCACCTCTCGGGAGGTAGCCTCGCACATCGGCCCATTCGGTCTTGCGGATGTACTCTCCACCTTCGATGAGGCCGTTGTAGCCTTGCTGCACGCAGAAGACGTCACAGTTCATGTTGATACCGGTGCGAACGACGGCTCGAATGACTGCTGCCATGCCCTGGGAGTCACCACCCGAGGTCATGACCGCGATCTTCTTTCGAGGCGCCATGATGGAGGTAAAGCTAGGGTGTACGTCGATTTACGAGGTCATGTATAGGGGGAAGTAATTGTTGAAGTTCTTTGGGGATGGGGGTGGTTGAGTCTCCAAGATTCGTTTGGTCGTGGGGCGGAGACTGCTTTTATGTTCACGGTGGGAAAGGACGTCCCTGAGGTTCGCTCAATGGACTTAATCAGGAAGGAACAATCAGTCAGAGAGATGGGAGATGGGAAGAACTTTTCAGCAAAAGGCACAGCAAGAAGAAAGTACAAACGAGGCTAGGTCTTATGACTTCTATGGACGACCCGTAGACTGCACAAACAAATGTGCGTGATTTCCCAAAGGTGAGCTTTCGGCCAGAAGCAGGTGCTGGTGGGCTGATTTGCAATGTGACGCAAAATGCATCGCCTTTCTACTTGGCAGTGTGGTAACCGGACAGACCAGACAGACAATGATGCGCATCCCCCACCAGCCCACCTTGATCTTGACCAAAAACCATCAAAAAAGCTCCTGAGCTGCTCTAGAGCTCCGTCGTTATCCTTATCAGGGAGGGGCGTCGTACTTGCAAGGATTTTCCAACCCCTCACCAGTTCGTTGGGATGCTCGACTTTGAGGCATCCAATAGTACATCTCGGCGCAATTGTGTAGGTGCGGACAGGGCGAGGATTGCGTCGTCCGACATCTCCTGATGCCGTGTTGGTCTAGTTCTCCGGCGGCACGATTTTGGGGGTCACTGCAGTTAATCGCCTCATTTATCCCGCGGCGTGATTTTTTTTCGTCGACTTGGTTCTCTCTCGCTCTCTCGGAACTGAGTCCCCGAGGCCTCGGTTGCAAGCGGACTGCATCCATCAAGCAGGTTAAGGTACGTTCGGCGTCAGCAGCATCGGCACTGGGCCCAGAGACTGGTTTAGAGCCCAGCCCTACGCCAGTAGTTCGATGCAAGTCGGTTGAACAGCGAAACCTTGCGGTTCAACAGTCTACATCGCAGCAGGCGTCCCTGGAATTCAACCTCAATTGTGTCACTTGCCAAATACCAAGCGCTTTGAAATAGAAGAAAACGTAGAGTATCACGCATTGGCCGTCGACGATTCGCGTGCGAGCTCGAATTCTGCTTATTTGTCTGACGATCCAACCATCGGGCCGTCACTGCTTTTCCGCCGTTTCTAGGAGAGGGGCAGTCGCGAAATCCATCACCAAAAGATCTCGATGAGTATTTGCCAAAGGAAGGGAGATTGCTCGGAAGTCGGCATCCTGCTGTAAAGTGGCAGGCTTGGAGGGATATGATCAACATCCGCAAACCAGTAACATCGACTTAGCCACCGAGTAAGGCATATTTACATGTCATTTCGGGGTAAAAATGCGATGCCACTCGTTTTGTTTTAGTACAGATAAGTAACCACGTACCGACGACTACATCCCAAAAACCCGACATTGATGCGGAGCCGAGTCAATTCGCGGAGACCGCCGTGCTATCCTGCGCCATCCTGCGCCGGGACGGGCGGATCTCGAACGTCGTCAGGATCTACATGGCGTAAAATGAAGAGTTGGCAACCCGCCGCTCCATGAACATATTTTTGATTCGAGCAGGAGTGACAAGTAATTTCAGTGTCAAGTGATTAACGATGCTGAAAGCGGTGGTCCCCCTCAGTAGCGCCACCCAGCAAACTTGTGCCGATCATGCCCAGGCACGAGGAGATGCGGCATATTGGCCTGGCGCATAGGAGGCATCGAATTGATGATTGTCGTCCTGGCATTGGGTGTGGTACAGTAGTTCATTGGACCAGCGCTAGTGCCAAAGCACATGTTTCCGAGGCTAGTCATCAAGAATTGACTGGCATGCATGGCCATGTCGGAAGCAGTAAGAACCTGGCATAATGCATCCCAAACAGCAAAATTAGCGCGCTTGGATCATATTATTTACATGATGTACTTAATCATTGCTCATTTACAAACAGACCAGCCATGCCCATACCCGTACCAATGCACATACTAGTAAGCAGGATCTTCTTGCTGGTCCTCCTGCACTCGCTTAGCCCAGTGACAATCTGTCGGGCACCAGTCGCACCGAGAGGGTGACCCAGAGCAATAGCACCTCCACGCGGGTTCATCTTCTTCCAGTCGAGTCCCAGCTTGTCTCTGCAGTAGACAGCCATGGTGCCGAAGGCCTCGTTGATCTCAATGACGTCGCAGTCGTTGATGTTCAAGCTGAACTGCGACAGAAGCTTGGGAATAGCCACCGTGGGGCCAATGCCCATGATACGGGGCGCCAGACCAGCAACCGTCGAGCCAACGTACTTGGCCACAACAGGCACACCAAGCTTGATCGCCGTCGACCGCTTCATCAACACCACCGCCGCCGCTCCATCCGTTACCTGACTAGCATTGCCACCCGTAGTAATCGGGCCCCACTCCGGGAATGCCGTCCGAATTTTCATCAGCCCCTCGGCTGTAGTCCCCGGCCGAATGCCCTCATCTCTCGTGAGCGTAACCTTTTTGACCTCCCCATCGGCTCCCTTAACCTTCGTCGTGATCGGCACAATCTCATCATCAAACAACCCCTTCTTCTGCGCCTCCTCGGCTCTTCGGAAGCTCTCAGCGGCATAGGTGTCGACCTGTTCGCGCGTGAGCCCAAAGTCCTTACCCACATTCTCGCTCGTCCACCCCATGGCCATCATGGCGTCGCGCGCCTCCTGGCTGTGGCTGGTCATGTCCTCGTCGAAGGGCTTATCGAGCGCGTCGCCCCCGATACTCATCGATTCGGCGCCCAAAGCGATGCCCACTTCGATTGAGCCACACGTGATGGAGTGTGCGATATCGGCGGTGGCTTTGAGGCCGGAGCTACAGAACCGGTTCACGGAGGAGGCGCCGGCGGTGTTGGGGAAGCCGGCTGCAAGGGCAGCGGCGCGGACTTTGTAGGCGGCTTTGCCATCGGAGACCTAGTTGTAGAAGGCAAGTTAGTGTTTGTTCGTCGCTGAGCTGACGAACTGGATCGCGCAGGTTGGAATGAATACGTACATTTCCCAGACAGAAGTCCTCAACCAGAGCCGGATCAAATCCCATGCGCTCTTTTACTTGCTGGAGAAGGGCAAAGATCATGTATTCCAGCTCCGTGTCTTTGAATCCACCCTTCTTTGCCTTGCAGAGCGGCGTTCGGACGGCGAGGGTAATCACGATGTCGTCGGCATTTTTGGACGTACTAGGCAGAAGAGTTAGCATTAAACAACTGGAAGGGAGCGGCTGAAATAGTTCCTGATGTCCTCCTCAATCGGTAAGGACTCAAGTACAACATACATTTGAGACAGAGCAGTGCCTGGCGTGAGGTGCTTCAAGATCGACCCAAGGCGTTCGGCAGCCATCTTGATTCAGGAGTTGGTGAGAACACGTGGAAGATGCTAAGGGAAATGGCGAGGCGATGATAGTGTCGAATTGAAACGGCACGAAGAGAAGTAGAGTAGTTCAATTGACGAATTTACCCAAAGCTCGTCCGTGTCAGATGGGATGAAAGGCCTACGCGGTTGTGGGGCACTACTCCATTGCCGAGGCATCGGCCTAGTTCGGCTTTGGCAACGCTACGGCAGATCGTGTTGCTGCGTGCCAGGGGCGTCCCTGTTTGATCTCTTCCAAAACCTGGGGTAAACGACCTCCAGCCAAGACACTACGAATCCGACTTTATATATCTAGTGCGTACTACTCCAGAGACAGAATTGGGAAGCATGTTCAGGCCAGTGCGGAATGAAAGATTTAAGACAAGTTGGTGACGCTCTGCAGCTGCCGATAGCGACGTTATGTTGCATCGGGGCAGTTACACGGATTACTGCCTTGAAGGGTAGAACAACTCATTGCTAAGCCCATTAAGAAGACGTCGATTCCCATTATGCGTAAGCACAGTGTTGGAGGTTCAACCAGAAGGCACCTAAACGTCCTGCTCAAATGCAAATAATTTTCGACTGATCTCCACCATGTATATATCTTGCGATACCCCAACCAGGCAGTTATCTGGGGACATATGAGAAACCATTCCAATGGTATCAGTTGGTTATTTAAGTCTATTTAGGACTATCCTCCTATATTACTCTAAGTTTGACCTAGCTATAGCTACGGTAAAGAGTTAGCTTGATACAGTAATTCTTCATGTTGACGAGTTGGTCGATTGATGTTCAATTTTACGATGTAAATACCTCAGCGAAGGCACAGTATCACAGACGATTCTGTTCCTAACCATTAACTAGCATAATGGGACGAAGTTATCTTAGTACAAATCCAACTTAATTTCTTGACTTTAGAAACAGGTCCACCAGCTGTGTTCTTCACTATTATGCCAGCTCTGCCTCAATCACGCTCTCAGGAGAAGATGGATGGCTCCAGATCTTGATGACCCTTAACCCTTCACCCTCCAGAAGTAGCCTCCATTTTTCTTCGGTTCTCTCCGCGGCGGCCAGGAGATGCATCAGATTGAAGTCCACCGAACACTGAAGCCACGTCGCACCGACAGTGGGAATCAACACTTCGTACACGAGAAGCTTGGAAACACCTGGTTTCATGGCTGAGCGCAGACTATTCAGGATTCGGCGGGCGTCTATATCGTCCCAGTCGTGTAGCACAGCGTGCATGAAATAGACAGGACTACCTGCAAGCAACTTGGGATTAGATCATGGTATGATTGAGAAGGAAGGCAAAAATAGACACGAACCTTGTATAGGCTGAGGTGTGAAAAAGTCATGTTCCTGCACAGTTACCTTCGATTTCAGATCCTGAACTAACGTGCTGATAACCTCAGGAAGGTCCTGTAGGACTAAAGCACTGGCCGGTAAATCCGGATGCCTCGCCAGGAGCTTTTGCAGATCAGGGCCCTGACCAGCTCCCATATCGACCACAAGCGGCCCATCGCCGCTGAAGCCTTCGACCATCTGCTTTGTATCGTAAACCTCAGTCCAGTCCATCTTCAGCTGAGTATACCCCGTCATGGCGACTGTGAAACTCTCCTGATACTCGGGTTTCGATGCGCATCTTTGGAAGAAGGACATATTTTCAGGGGTGAGATCCATGTAATTCGACTTGAGCGGATCCAACGGCTCGGGGTATGACTCCCTGGCAAGGTAGAAAGGGAAGTTCTTGGCTGAGTCGGCGTTGTGGTGATACCAGAAGAAGAGGCACTGCAGCACGGGGGACGACAAGTTGCCTAGTTCCAGAGAGAGGGGAGTTGAGCGGTAGCGTCCTTCTGGTGTTTCGATGACGACGTGCTCAGCTGCTAACAAGCGGAATATTCGACCTATGGAAACAAGATTAGAGAAAGACTGCGTGTTACAGAGCAATATTTGAGGACATTGGGCAGAAACTGGAACCGCTGACGCATCAATACTCACGCAAAAGAACCAAGTCGCAAGGCGGGTTGCACAAATCCACCAGCTCCTGAACGGTCGTCTCCTTCCCTCCAGCCTCAAGCCAGGCTTTCCATAATCCGACATCGTGCACAATTCTGCAACAGGCGATCACATCGTCATGTGACCACGTCCAACGCATCATCCGCTCATATGGCAGTTCGAGGCGAGCAGTCAGTCGATGCGCCGCTGCTAGAATTTGGCCGCGTGCTGTGCTGTCGTTCGCGACATCTTCCAAGTTCAAACCGTCGAGAGCGGCTATAACTTTTTGATGGTCGACCATAGTTTCGGTTGGCTTTCAATATTGTATAACAGCTTAACTAGTTGAAGGTAGAAATTGTAGAGCTTTGAGCAAATATTTCGTTTTTGCGCTGCGGGGCCCCTGTTAGTTTCGCACCGAAAGATGGAAAAACACGCTGGGTTTCTAAACCTAGCATTTTGCCGAGCCAAAAGTCTTGATCGGGATGGTCTTGCAGTCTGTCATATTCTGGATCTCATTGTAACCCCTGCATGTAATGGACATGACACACAACTGCTGAGCCACATAGCCGTAGTGGAGATTTTCTGACCAAGAGTCTGTCACAAATTGAAAACCATCTCACTGCGACAGCAGCTTGAGATCTTTCATTCTAGGTGTATGGCTGATTCAAGTTGCTCGTTCGGCCAATACGGTTATGTAAGTCTACTTCACTTGAACCTCTGCAACAAACCAAAAGAACTACTATACCGACGAACGTTTGCCACAATACCTATTATTTCCCTTCATGACTTGCACAACTCCAAATGTTCCCTTACCCTGCCGTCAAGTCCAACCCAGAACTTGTCTGTTTAAATCAAAGGCCTAGGTAAACTTCTACATCGCTAATCTTATCCTGCTTTCCGGGGACTTCTTGATCCGGAATTCCCTTAGAGACACTGCTACGATATGTGGAATACTACCTCGTGCTCGCTCCTAGTGTGCCTATGCTAGAGGCGTAAGTCCTTCATACATTGCCCCGATTTTTTGATACCTTTGCTTCGTCATAATACGGGCTTGCGTCTGCTTAGTGTCATCGAAGCTCTTGGGCTGCTGTGAAGTATTCTGAGTCTACCAAAGGAGATTGTTGCCAGGGCTACACGTATCGTGATAGCTTCGTTCGACGACCGTACCCGCCAGTGACGCCCGTGGTATTTCAGCCCCACTTGATCTGAATTAAATACTGGCCCATTCTTCGACGATAGCAGGGGTGATCTGCAAGGCCAGTGACCCTCCATTATTCCACGGACTCGATATGGTTTCGCTGTTGGCAGTGTGTGTTAGCCACTTTTTGAAGGTTATGGTCTTTCTTACTGATGTCTTCACTGGAGTTAGGGCGTAGAGCTTGTTCGTATATTTATTTGGTTTCTGCCGCATTTTTATATTAACTGTGAGATTCCAGTCACCAGAAGAGCGCATTCGCGAGGGCTATACTATTGAATTTATTCCAATTCTACAAAGATACTGAAAAGCTTGTGTGGAGTTTAGCCTCCGCGTGTCAGGGCTTAGTAGGACTAGAACAGGGCTCGAATAGCTAGGACAACAAATTTAGCGCCTAATGAAAACAAATAACTGCTAACATTATTATATATAATTGTTCTGTGTATTGGTAATATATTTTAAGTAGGTCTAGCTTAGTAAGCTTTCACATAATGTATCGAAGCTGTACTACCTCAGCTTAAGGGATTTAGCTTTATTTATAACTAAAGTTTGTCCGATTATTACGATATATTCGCCCTATTAAATATATGAGCCCCGATGAATTGACTTGTACTGAACCATCTCGCGGCAGTAAGAAACGATAATTGACAGAGTAGCAGGTAGCTGGCGGGAAGGTTGATATCCACCGTGTTGGCATTTAAAGATCTCAAAATTAACTTGGTTGGGCAGAGGACAGAGGAGCGATGTGGAATACTTTTGATATGAATGGGATGTACAGCAACGCACATGAAAATATGCAGTATACTCAAGGGGATGCTGTGTTGTTCGTTATCATGATGTGATGTGTGATTAATTCCCTTTTGGTACATTTGGCTTGTTCTCAGTTTCTCAAAAATGCAGTACTTATCGTTTTGTCAAGGCAGAATCCGCCTTTGTAAGATGATCGATCGAAAAAAGCGCGTACAGAGGGTTTCCTTGGATGAGAATGATACCATCAGGTAGCAAAAATACGGATAGATTCAAAAACTGGATCATTCTCGGTGCCAGCGGTACTGTATTGGGCTATTTTCTCACTCAATTCTGTTTCTTCCTCAAACTTTGTGCCTCCGGATCAAGTGCAGCTGAACTCCTACGCCAACTCCATTGCTCTTCCGCCTTTCCGCTATCCCGCCACTGGTAATACAGCATAACAACCATGACAATAGCTGTCAAAGGAACTGACACAGCAAAATAAAGCCACCATCGACTACTCGCTGCAAACACGGCGTCACCCCCATTATCACCCGGGGAAGTGGTGAAGAAGCCCATGCCGAACACGCTACTAACCAAGGACCCAGGCAAGAAGATCATTGACAGAATTTGGATAATGCGTAAGGAGCGGTTGTCCTGATTCGAGGCCTGCGCGATTTGGATGTTGAGCTCAGAGTCGCGTTGGTTGATCATGGCGAAGCACTCATCCACGCCGATCTTGCTGCGCTCAAGGTACAGGCTCGTGTACGTCCCGATGAGCTTGACTTCTTTCGTCAGGTTTTCGAAGATGTCGTCCATAGTAGACTGGGCATCTTGTATATGATCCTCTATATCTGCTCGGGCATTGAGAGTCTTTCTGAACCATTCCGTTTGTGCCTTCAGATGCTGGATGCTTGACTGCAAGATGTCGTAGTCAGTAGATATCTGATGGATCTGCCTTGCCAGAGCTAAAAATGCACGGGATCGTGCTGTGTAGTCGTCTGGCGTTTGAAGTTCGGATGCTTTTTTCTCCTATTCTTGGGGTTAGATCGTGCTTCCATCTCCCTAGCATGACATGGCCTATACTAACCCACCGATATAAGGGCCCCGAAAAGTAGGCCAGAAAGTCGTATGTGCGCAGCAGGATCTTGTCCATAATGAATGCATGCACAGCCATAGGATTATCCAAAAGCTTTGTTCCCGTCTCGCCCGTGAAGGTCCGGAAGAATGCCTGCTTGATGGCGTGGGGACAGCGCCAGATCATGTATGTCGCCGCGCTGCAATCGCTCCCATTCCCTTGTCCTTGGGACTGGTAGTCGGACCACATGCAGAACCGCTGCCAATAGGCGAATTGCCTCGAGAGGTCGTTTATCTGATTCTGGTTCTGGTATCGGATCGCGGAACCGTCGCTGCGCAAGACAGCGGTATACCACATCTCGTGACGGATGTTACCGGTCTTGTGACGGTGGACCTCTCGCCCAGGCATATGCTGGCGAGTGAGGATGTCGATGAATCTCGGATTCACCTTGAACGTCTCCAGAATATCACGGAGAACAGACTCAGTGACTGGAAGCATGTCGGGCCAGTCCAAAATGGCGTCAATGAATAGAAGTCGCATCCGCGTCGGCCTTGTCTCCAACTTTAGCCAGTCCCGAATTCCAGCATCATCCATTTGCTCCCTAAGTATGCCGCCATGTTCTGGAGATATTTCGAAGACGTCGACTACTGACGTTTTGGAGAACTGTTCGGTGCCATTTCCGGCTTCGTTGGCAAAAGCCTTTTTCACTGTGTCATGGTACAGAAGTTCATTCAATGTCCTTGGGGGGTGCGCACCCCATTGTGGCGAAGGGGTTCGCGTTGGACTTGGCTCGCTTGAGCGCCGTCGTGACATGGTGTTGGAGGCGCTCCTGTAAGCGTTTCAAGCATTCATATGAAATGTGACTAACTGGAAAGACCATGAGAAGTAGACCACATTTATTTAATGTAAAGCTCTCTCATGTTGCTTTCCCCCCACCCCATCTTCCAGCCCCGCCCGCCCGAGTCGCCCAACTGGCCTTATCACAGCTCGCACTAGGGCTGAATCCAACATCTCCAGGACGAATAGCCGCGATAGGCCATTGTCTAGGATGTCCACATCGATTTGGTGGTCAACACCGCCAAAGTGCTTACCCCCGACATTAGCGTCAACTAGCCGCCTCAGCTGCTGCAGCTAACCCGTAAGGCGGGCCGAAGAAAAAGGATAACACCTCGAAGAACATTGGCCTAACTTCTAGGATGAATCCTTCATCAAAATGGCCAAGATAAGGGAACTGTCGCTGGGTGAGGCGCTGCCATCCACCGTCGTCCACGTCGCCGGTCATCCGTACTTATTACACACGGAATCCGAAGCCACTGTTCACCCTCTGAGTGGTGATGCGCTCGTTCCAGCGACTTTCGTCGACTTTGACGGCCCCGAGGGGTATTTGGATGATGTGATCGCCGGCGCCGATTTTGCCCGTGACGATGTGTGGAATGAGGGATTCCTCAAAGGTGTGTTACGAACCATCACACTGAACTCTATAAACGACTATAGTCACGGGCTGTGTTGCGTGACCTACTAATTAATGAAAATGGCAAATAGCTAATACCATTCGTTGCGTAGCTGTCATTCATAAACATGGTAAGAAAATCACTTCTTCTACCCACATATCGAGTAAGATACTGCATTCGATGCACCAATTACCGGATGGTCATGGCCCTGCCTTGCCTACAGGGCCCTGTGTAATACTCCCATCTGGGAATATCCACAGAGTATACCGGCTATACGCCGATGAAAACAACGCGTTCGTGCGTGGAGTCTTGCCAAACACAGCCTCAACTTTCAGATGGCTCGAGGTCTCCGACATGATACCAGTGCCATCCAGGATATACGCGAGAGAGCCCACGACTGAACGTCCCCTGGCCGGCTTGCGATTCGGGGTCAAAGACGTGATCGATGTGGCTGGGCTGGAAACAGGTAACGGTAGCAAATGCTTCCGCGAACTTTACCCGCCGAAGGTGTCAACAGCCCCTTTTATCAGCCAGTTAATCACCGCTGGTGCAGTCATGGTGGGAAAGATGCGATGTTGCCAGTGGTGTGACGGGCAGGACCCGTTAGAGCGGCTGGAGGAAGTCACGCCAACTAACCCCAGAGGTGACGGGTTTCAGAAACCTTCTGCCTCAAGTTCGGGCTCTGCAGCGGGGTGCGCGAGTTACCCGTGGTTGGACTTCACCATAGGGACTGATACCGGTGGCTCGATTCGGCATCCGGCTGGTGTCAACGGCCTGTATGGAATCCGACCCACGGTTGGCTGTCTCGATAGCGCAGGTTTGTTATGTACCCGTTACATGGATACACCGGGTGTATTTGCTCGCTCAGCTGCCGTGGCCGAAATAGTCACCAAGGCCGCGATGAAAGCACCAAGTCTCCTGTCGCCTCAGGAACTACCAGGTCAATCAAGAGCCGAGTCATCTGATCCAAGCAATAATTTCGAACCCGTCAAGAAGACGAGACGCTTCAAATTGCTCTACGCCGTGGAACCCCCTTCAGAAGAACCCAGCAAGACACCCAAGTTCTTCTCCTCCGCAGGAAACGGCCCAGAAGCCCAGACACCAGCAGGTAAACTCATGCGCAACTTCATCGAAAAGCTCGAGACCCACCTCGGCTGCGCCGGTCAAGAAACCTGCCTCTACGACCTCTGGAAGAAACAACACCCTCCAGGAACCCCCGAAAGCCTTGTGGAAGCCACGGGTACCATTTACCAAAACATCGTGTATCCGACGCTGTATCACCAAACCATCAAGCCCTTTATCCACGATTTCAAGGCTGTTCACGGTGAGAATGCGCGGCCTTTCATCGAGTCGACTACTAAAGCGAGGCTCGATTACGGGGCCCGGGTATCGGGGGAAGAGCAGATGGATGCAATGGCGGCGTTTGAGTCGTATGCTGCTTGGGTTAACGATATCCTCCTAGTCTGTTCCTCAGATGACGATGAGACTCATATTACGGAAGAGAATGAGATCCCGCTATTGATTTACCCCCAGAGCTGGGGTGTGCCACAGTATAGGGACGAGGTTGCCAAGAGTGAGGACGGGAAGCTTTTCTGGAGCGGGTTTTCGGTGTACTCGATTAGTTACTGCTCGGGTTGTCCCGATTTTACCATCCCAGTTGGGGAGGTTGAATTCACTTCCAAGTTCACGGGGCTGAAGGGGTATTTACCAGTTGCGGTTTCGTTGCTTGGGCCGAGGGGGATGGATCTAGAGATGTTGCGGTTGATTAGGGGGCTGGAGGAAAAGGGGGTTTTTAGGGAGCTGCAGTGTGGCAGTAGATTATTCTACGGATGAGATGCTTGTGGGATACCCAAAGAAATTGTGAACAAAAAGTAGTAAGACGAATTAATATGCCACCTACACAATGCTCAGAGTTTTATGTTTAGAGCCTGATTGTATATTGAGACTTGGGCGTGACTATCTTGATGAACCTGGCATGCATGGCCTCTTGAAAGATACCTGAGCTCAACACCAGCAAGTGAGATAGTTAACCATCTCAGCATGCCATATCTTATTTAGCTGCAGACCCAGGCCTCATTGGTAGGGGACAAGTCTTCGATACATAATGAGCTTTAATTGCCTTTGTTCCCAAAAACTGAAGCTCAGTTAGGTCAGTGAAAAGAGCGTAGTCTGTGCATCTTTTCAAAATGGCAATGAACGGAGTTTCGATAATAAGATAACCTACACGTTTGTAAGCGCCACGACATGACCCGGCAAATTATAACTTTTCTAATAATCTTCCCCCTTTGACTCTGTCTGCTTTCTCGGCTTATATTACTGACAGCTCGACCGGTTCCAATTCGGGTCATCTGTACCACCGTTGAAAATGGGAAACAATAGCATATTCAGCTCCTATCCCACCTATGTATACTTACCTTGGATTTGTATTCAGATATTACTCTAACACGGTACTTAGAAATAGCTAGTGAAGTCACCCGGGCGAAACTCGAGCACTTTTTCTGTCAAACGTCTCGACCTTGGAGGTCCAAGACTTACTCAGGTATCTCAGTGCCAATCATGGCACAGCCGTAAGCCATAACGCGTAAGCATCAGCTGATCCTGCAAATCGCAGATCGAACCAAAACCATCCTACATCATTGATACCCCGCACTGAAATATTCAGTATCACCACTTGTTGCTCTTCAGAAGTCATTCCAATAATACCATCATGGAAACACGCACGACGGCTACTCCATCCCCCCAAAACCGCCCCCTCACTCCCCTCCTGGTTTTACTCTTCATCTTCCTCGGCGCCGCCGGAGCCTGGCTACTTCGTATCGATCCCATTCAGCATGATGTCCCGCGAAATTTCCAGTCCGTAGTCGCGTCGGGTAAGCTCGAGGACGGCTCGCAACTCAAACAGCACTTCACGGGGCTCACTGTTATCTACGACACCCTGGCGAACCTCGTAGCTGCTTTTGCGGCTGGACCGTTGGGCTTCAATAAGGGCTGATACGAAAAGGTAGGGGGACCCACCGGTTAGGTGAATCCCATTCAATTAGATACTATAACGTTGCGCACTGCTGCATTATAGCATCCTCCCCCCTAGGTGCACGCGTCAAGGGCGTTACGCTGCAGCAGGTTTACTTTCTGGCTGTGTTCTTTGCTATAGTTTGTGTTTGGACCGTGGAGGCTTTTCGGGTGAGGAATAGGGGGAGTATGGTTAGTTTGTGAGTGGATCCGTGCATTACTATTTTTATTATTAGATTTAGAAATTACTTTAGTTTTTCCCCTGGTGTTTTGGTTTGTTGAGCCTGACCACTGACGATGTCTTTCTGCAGTACGGCAGTGTGGGCGATTTTCTATCAGACTCTGGGCGGGACAGCTATCATCCCGCTCTACTACGCCGCCTATGAGTATACCTCTAGAAACGACGACTACTACCAGTCCGGCCGGGCGTTAGATCTTCTCAGTGCGAAATCCATCCTCCCTGCGACAGTACTGGCCTACCTGATCCCTACTATCGCCATGTACATCCCCTTTCAGGATCCTTCCATCACGCAGAACTTGATTGCGTTCTGGCAAATCACGCCGCTGTTGGTCAATCTAGCAATATACATATTCACTTCCATCTTCAACGCGAAAAGCCTGCAACAGTAATCATCTACAAGTCGGATCGGTGCAGATCGGAAGTATCTCAACCAAATTTACTACGCCGCCTTCGTCGTGACGGCCGTCACACACTTGGTATTGGTGTACATCTGCCTCACCTCCAACGATCCACAGACCAAACTCGGGTATGTATTTCTACCCAGTAAGGAAACATTGAAGGATGGCGTGACCATGGGGCTGCATTACATATTCCAGTGGGACTTTTGGGGAATTGCCGGTTCGTCGTTGCTGTGGTGCTGGTTTGTTGTGTTTGACGTACAAAGACTGCTGGGTAGCTCGAGTGTTTGTGGTGTTGCGCAGGCTGGACTGGTGATCGGGGTGATGGCGGTTGTGCTTGGGCCTGGGGCGGCTATGGCGGCTGTTTGGAAGTGGAAGGAGGATAAGTTGGTTGGAATTGAGGAGAAGGCTTTGAGGAAGAAGAACTGAAATACTAGTTCACTATAAATCGTATTCAGTAGGGGTGTTAGGTGTGTTTATTCTTTGGCTGTCAACTTTGCCAACTCCTTCCCCCGATTCACCCCACTGCCAAAGAAGATGAGGAAAAAGAGCGTAACTATCCACCATCTAACTCCTAAAGTCATAATTCAACCATGTTCTACCTCACATCTCTTAACTCCCATCCCCAACCCACTTTCCCCTGCTCCTCCTCCAGCCCCTCCTCACCCCATCCCGTTCATGCACTAAGTAGGTTCCCAAAAACACCAAAACGGTCAACGGTACTGCCGCGGCCCAATACTGCCAAAACCCCCTACTATCTGCCGCAGCGTTGCCCTGTATACTAAAAATTGAAGCCACGCACGCCGGGGGTGCAAAAATCATAGCCACCAACGTGAGTGATTTCGCCGTGCGAGCCTCCAGGATCCCCAACCGCCCGCCAATAATCCCGTTCAGGGCCGCGAGCGAGCTCGTCATGCGGGCGTACTCGCTGAGGCGAAGACGGAATTCGCGGTGTAGGAAGAGGAAGTCGGAGGTGGGGGAGCGCCAGTCAGTCATTCCTCCCTCCCCTTCCCTTTGTCCTCTTGCTTGCCCCCCCAACTCTTCTTCGACTTGATCGCCTTTAAAAATCGACGAAGAAGAATGATACTTATTATTACGCAATTCTTCATCAGCCGAGATACCAAGAGCATCTAGAACGGTATTCAATGCTTCCAAGTACTCAGGACACTTGAACTGGCTCCACGCTGTCTCGACCTGATTCGAGGCCTCGATCTCCTCTTGTGTGCGGCGCTGGACGGCCCATCCAGATGACCGCATGGAGGCGGTTTGGTGGCTTACAAAGCCGAGAAGTTGGCAGTAGTGGCTTGCTACTAACTTTCGGGGAAAGAGAGCCAGAGAGTGGGGGTCCGAGAGGTTCGGGATAAGGGAGGCGTGGTGGGTGAAGTAGTAGAGGAGGTCGTCGAATGTGCTGTTGTGAGGGGGTGTTTCGGTGGTGGACTGGGTTGAGGATGTATTTGTGAGGGGTTTTTGGTTCTCGCTGCGGGTTGATGAGCTGTCTGTGGTAGTTGCGGTCGAAGTGGAGGCGTGAGCGGCGGAGGCAAGGACGTCATCTGGTATGAAGCCGTGATATCCACCGTAGAATGCTCGTACACTTAGTTCGCTTGTCGTCTCCCCGACTTTGATGCATCCTGGTGCAGGATCACAGAGTATAACCACTAGACACCTCAATGTTAGCAATCATGTCCTCAACTTCTTGACCCAGGACCTTTAAATACTTACCATCCCATTCACCCTCCCCTCTCCCCACATACCAAAACGACACCTTCCTCGGCGCAATCAACAACCAACCCTCGCTCTTCTTCCACTTATGACACTGCAACTGCCTCCCCGTCTCCGCACACGTAATATTCGTACTGCCATGTTTGAATTTCGGTCTCTTCTTCTCCCCATCCCACCACCCCTTAATCTCATCTTCAAACCCGCCGGTGGCCGCCCCAACGTCCCATAACTCGAAATACTCCAGCGAGAAGCGCCTTCCTGACTTGGTTGCCGTGGGTAACCGGGGGCAGTTGATAATCTCGTTGAAGTCAAAGGTAGTCCGCTCCCAGGCATGCGTCTGGAAGAGGTCTTGGGGCACGTTTAGGTGGGACTTAAGGAGGCCTTCGAGGCTGTAGGGGGTGCTGCAAGCTCTGTAGTGGCGAGGGAAGGAGGATTCAATAAGGAAGAGGCGGCATTTAGATGAGTCTAATGATGATGACCAGGTCGGATTGGGATAAGGTAGTGCATCGTGTTGTTCTTCCTCGGTAGGGCTGAAGAAGTGCTGGAGTTGGGATAGGTTGGTGCAGTGGGTGATTACTTCAGATGCAATCCTGCCTTCGGTGGAGGTGAAACCCAAAACTGTGACCCGGAAGTTCATTGTGGATGCATTCTATTTCTCAAGGACGTTGTGATCATGTTGTCCAGATCGAATCCTGGGGAAGTTTGGGGCATGCCGCGGCAGATATGTAAAAATATGCGTTGTTTCAACCTTCAGCTGGGATGCAAGAAAGAAGATACGTAGCCTGCTAAATTGTGGCCAAATATCATAGCCTGCAAGGCGTAGGGCTGTGTAGAATCCTGGCTGTTTGAACCAGACCGAATCCTTTCTCCGTGAGATTTGCATGCTGTGTAGCCATAGTGAATCCTTTCTCTATGAGATTTGCATGCTGTGTAACCATAGTGAATCCTTTCTCTATGAGATTTGCATGCTGTGTAACTATAGTGAAGGCCCTAGGCTGACTCCGACTTATTTTGGGAGATGGCGGGGGAAGCCTCACCGACCGGCGTCATTAATAAGGCCCGAATGTGAGGTGGTTTCATCAATGTCCCTTCTGAGATCCTGAACGCAGATGTTTTGAGTTGCCTGAATAACCACGACCTCAAGCACATCGGAACGAAATCAACTGTAGATACGCCGATTGATCACACCACCCCCTTTTCTGGCCGGGAGGCATCTCATCATCTATTCACCATCATTATCACTCCCTCACAATCTTAAATCTCCCATCAACCCTTCCAAAGTCCCCCACCCCTCACTCCCCTCCCAACTCTCCTTCCCCTTTCCCATCACACTCCTAACCGCACTCCTGGCCTTCCCCCTCCACCTCTCCCCAATCTCCTCAACCTCGAGCCCCCAATTCTCATAAGCAGCGACCAACTCCCCCGTCCTGAGAACCACCGTCTCCCAGCCCTCTCTATTCGTCGACGTCCAACTACCACCTCCTTGCGCACCACCTTGGGCAGTAGCACCCGAAGCCGAAAGCGTACTCCCTGTACTTCCACTAGTAGCGGCTCTCCACCCCTTCTCCGCTGCGTCGACAGCGCCCGCGTAGTCCCGTCTCCATGCCCGCAGGCGCGAGACAAGGGCCCAGACTTCGGACCTGGTGGTTATGAGCGGGACGACCTCGTCTTCGAACATTGCGCAGACTTTCTGCGGGAGTGAGCCGCGGGGTGGGTTGTGCACACTCTCCCCCGCAGGGGCGGGCTCTTTAGCGACCTCTCTCACTAATAAACCCAGGATCTTTTCATCTAGCGCGTCCTCACTCTTGCGGATGCGGATGACGTTGCGAGTTCCGAAGACGACGTCATCCAGGTCGGGTTTGGGTATCAGGCTTGCTGCAAGTGTGATAACGTTGTCCCAGATCCGCCAGTTATCGTTGGCAATGGCGGCGCCTCGTTTGAACGTCGTGAGAGCGTCTTGTAGGAGCTTGTACGATGGCTTTCCGAGCTCGGCCGCGCGTTTGGTGGCGGGCTTGTTTTCGAGATCCTCAATAAATGTATTTTTGGCAGTGCCTTCTGTGTTATCGTCTTCGTCCAGGATCCGTTGGATCTTTTTTGAGTTCTTGTTCTCCTTGACGACTTCGCGGTACCAACTGATCAGAGCGGTGCCGAGATTACTCCATGTCCGCGCATCTTCGCCTCCCTGCTCACCATTGCTCGTGCCGATGGATCGTTGGAATGCCTCGGCAGCGTCGGGAAAATGGCCTAGTCGCAGCTCGATGTCGCCAAGCCTGTTCCACAGCTCGGGGTTTAGCCTGTTGACACCGACAGCGAGCCTGTATGCCTCTGCAGCGCTCTCCCAGTTCTTCTTTTGGAGATGCATCTCACCGAGCGAGTGTTGCGCTCTCGCAAACCTCCGGTTTGAAACCTCCCAAGCCCGTTGGTAGTGAGCCGGGTCGTTCTCCAGATCACCCAGGATACAGTAGAGACGAGGGGCATTAGGAGGCGGAGGGCTGCGTTCCGGGCCGTAAAAGTCTTTATAGCTCAATGCATCTGCATCAACGAATGAATCCAAGTCTTCATCGCTGTCCGTTGCCGACGCACCGGTTCGATGGAAGAGCCTCCACCGCACAATAGCCCTGGCCTTTTCCTCACCTCCACCGCCACGACCATCTTCGTCGGATGAAGCGGCACTACTAGCTAGACATAGCGCCACCTCAGCCCAGAGGCGAAGACGCTTGAAGATTTCGAGTGCTGATATCAAAGACCCAACTGACGCCCAAGCGTACGCCAGTTCGGATTCGAGATGCCATCGTGGTGGCGAAGATAGTGCATTCACGTATTGTAAACGTATTTGAGCAGACGCTGATTCGGTTGCTTTGGGTGCAGGTAAGAAGGATGTTGGTTTAGGGACGTTAGCAATGGCTTGGTTTGATGCGGCGCCATCAACCCCTGAAATCTCAATCGCGGGAACGCCATCGGGTTCATCCTTAACCTCGTTGCTGGTAGACGCCGTTTCCTTCGATGCCTCTGTGCCAACAACAACTTGATCCACGACAGCTTGCATCTGCAGAACTGCGCGCTCAAGGGTCCTGCTTCGGCTCAGTTCTATCCTTGACCGCACCAGCAGAGCGTGTGTGTAAATCTGCCAGTTCACAGGCTTGTCGTCAATGACCCTGACGGCAAAAGGCAGGACCTCCTCGGCGGTGAGCGAATCCGCCGGTGAGAATGTGTCTTTTATTGTTGCTTCGGTAAGAAGAATCATTTGGTCCTGCGCTTTGAGCTGGGGTTGGTTCTCCGGAGTCAGGTCTTCCAGTTGGGTTGGAAGGTTTGATTCTGCTTGCACCGTATCGCCACCTGTATTGAACGATATCCTTTCTAGCAACGTGTCGTTATTCAGAGGCAGTGCGTTCGGCACCACCCTCTCCGATGTTTTGTCGCCGTTGTTAGCTTCTTCGTTGCTCTTTGCAAGCACGACAAGCTGACTGGTACTCGTCTCCTGAAACCTCGTCCTCTTGCCTAACGCCCCTGAGAGAGCAAACACGAAACCACTCAGTTCGGTAGCTTGACGAAGTGCCTCCTTGGCTTTGGCATCGTTCCCAAGCATGATCTGCGCGTTAGCCTTTTCAAGCAGAAACTCAACCTTGCTATTGTGGTCGGCTTGTGATATAGTCGTCTCTGCCTCTTCCAAACTACGCTCCACCAATTCCTGCAGGGTCGTGACGTCCGTCCATCGCCCAACTTTCGTAAAGAGAGATCCTGGACCCAGGGAAGGCTGAGAAACGAGTTTGAAATGCCACAAGTGAACTCGAAAGCGTATCCATGCCAAACTCTTGCCTTCGGCTTCAGCACCACTGGGAAGGTCAACATCATCTGATGTGAAGATCCACCTCGCAAAACAGAACAGCTCGATGTGCGGTATGTACTCGTACACACTTACACCATCCGTATCCAGAATCCGCAAGCAAGCCCTCCTCAGCTTTTGGATGGAGCTCTTTGCGCCCTTGCCAGGATTCTGAACAGCGCCGCTTGCTTCCAGTTTTTCAAAGGCGGCGCCGAAAGTCTTCTCACATGCCCGGGTCCCTTCCAATACCGGACCTGTGACATTGGCCTGAAGAAAGGCATTCAAGGCCGCGGAGCCAAGCCGAATTGCATCATTCTCCTCGGCACCGCTCAGCGCGGGTGACGGCTCTTCGTCCTTCCCCACAGCGCCTGCCTCCTCGGGTGTCGGTCCCGATTTCGAGACAACGTGTCCAACGAATGCGCTGACCAAATTTGACGCCGATTCGTGATCGAACGCAGAGAGGAAGCGTACGTCTTCCACCATGGTCATGTCAGAAAGTATCAGATCCTTCAAATGTGCGACGAACTCCTTCAACTTGATCTGTCCTCGGGTCTGTAGATGGGAGTGTAACGATCTTTGAATTCCAGATTCCAAGTGATCCTTGTTCTGCGATGGAATTCGCTGGGGTATGTATGTCGATATTTATCTTCACTGGCTGCGAGCTTCAATTGTAAGCATGCGCCGCGTCCAGTTGTCTTTTAGTTATGTTCTCGGCCATACTATCCCAAAGTCCGAGATATTGCATCACAAAAAGTTGAGGTTCAAAATTTCCGTGGTGGGGGAAGGAGGGGCAAAATCCCGATATGGTCTGTGCGCTTCGGTAGCCTATCTGTGTGAAGACGCTGTACCAAGTATTCATAATTCTGTCTGGTGGTCAAGCTCCAAGGCAGTCCCAGATGAATGATATACATATAACCAGCCATTCTCGACCTGCATAGAAAACCAGGAACAAGTGGTATATTTTTGCTTGACCCTCAGCTGGTAATACAAATCGCTGATACTCATACTTGATTGCACGCATCGATCGCTCTGTAGCTACTCGTAAATACAGGTCTTGTAGGGAGCGTAATGCGCAACCATGCTCGTTGTCAACGTAGAGACTGGCCCTATTTCTTGCCGCCCTTCTTCTTGTTGACCACCTTGAATCCGGCAGGGAGGGCGGCTTCACCACCGTTATTTTCCTTGTGGGTGCTCTTCTTTGCGACTTCATTCCAGCCCCCAGCCTTGGCGCTCTGGGCCAGAACGTCGGTCGTCCCTTGCTTCTCAACCACTCCCTTCTCGGCCAACTTTCTGCGGCGGATAAATTCGGCAGCGAAATGTCGTCCATCCATGGTCTTGCTGTTGGCATACACGGCGTCTGCGATGATAGACGCCTCGGCAGGCAACTCCATGAGAGTCTGCTGGAAAATATTGACTACGCAACGTTAGAATATTACTAAAATACGCTGGAAACCACAGAACTTACTGTCCGTAACACCCGTGATACCCCGTGTCAGCTGACTCTGGACCCACTTGTTAAATTCGTCCATAGCCTCAGAGCTTGATACGCCCGTGGTCTTAACAGCGGGCTTGGCCACGGGACCAGGTGAAGTGACAGGCTTGACATTCACAGCGCTTGGAGTTCGGGGTTGAGCCGCTGCTGGTCCAGTTGGAATCTTAACCTTGGCCTTGCCGCCGGCGCCAACTGTCGACCAGCCGGGAGGAGGAACCGCCGCCACTGTAGTAGCGGCAGCAGAAGCAGCTGGGACGCCAGCAACCGCCGGAGCTGGCGTAGGGAAACCTGGAGCGTTGGGTTTGCTGGCCAAGTCGGCATATCGCTTGCCCAGACCTGCAGCAGACGGGGTACCAGGTAACTGTGCAGCCATTTGCTTCGCCTTGTCCGCCTTCAATTTTCTTGCTTCCTCCTCGCGCTGAATGTCGGCTAGTGTCTTCTTCTTGTCAGCGGCTGGTACGGGAACTTTCGGCGCTGCGATTCCGGGAGCGGCCGGCTTCGCCCAAGGACTGGCACTACTGCCAACCGGGCTAGCAGTACCCCAGGTGCTAGTTGTGGGCAGCCCGCTCGCAATTGCTGCCGCCTTCTCACGCTCGCGAGCGGCTTCTTGATCGGCCATTGCGCGACGCACAGCAGCAGCCTGCTCCTCGGCCTTGGCAGCCTTCTTGGCCTCTGCTTCCTGGATCTCCTTGAGTGTGGGGCCACGGCGCGACCCTACCGCCTTTTCAGCCCATGGGGCCAGAGGTGGCGGGTGGGTGGCTGATGAGGACGATGGGGTGATTTCGGGAGTCTCGGATCGGGAGCTAGTGGCATACTGCTCCGGCAGATTGGACTTGACCCGCTGCGGTGCAGGCGCCGGTAACGGGGTCGATGACTGGGGTGGCGGGAAGGGCAGGGGCAAACCGCTTATTTTGGCTGCTGCAGCGGCCTGGGCTTGAGCTTGTTGGATCTGTCGGTTCAAAGAGCCTGTGTCGCTCTCCTCCACAGACTCGCTGTCGTCGTCTGTTTGTCTCAACGTTTCCTCGGTGGCAGATTGCTCCCCGGTGTGGTGAGCAGTCGGACTTGACGTGGGTGGAGGACTCTGCTCAGCTGACTTCCCCTGAAGCCCGAATCGTGACTGATCCAACTGGGCATCACGCTGTGCCCGGATCTGTTCGAACTCCTGGAGACGGCCACGAAATCCCTCCGAGTCTTCAACGAGTTCCTCGGTGCCTGGGAGGCGGCTGCGAAAGCTCAGGTCTGACGACGGAGCCCCAATAGGTGCCTGAGAATGACTTGGGGCCGGTGCCCCCGGTCCCAATACGCCGGTCAGTACCTGTCGCTCCTGATCAGACAGACGCGCAAACTCATCCTCTCGGAGCATGTCGAAGCCACTCCCCTGACCGGCTGGCTGGTGGTTGGGGGGGTGCCCACCGAAAAAAGGAGCAGCCCCGCCGATAGGACCGATGGGCGCCTGGGGTGGCATAGTGATGGGCGAAGTCATGCTACCAAAGCTGGGCTGGCTCTGCAGACTGTGGGCACTAGAAGCATGATGCAGGCCGGGATGGCTGATCCTTGCCATTCGCTGGTTGGAGAGTAAATCGCGTTGCTGAGCCATAAGATACTGCTCCTCCTGCTTGCGTCGCTCCAGGTCATTTTGCTCTTGTGCAGTGAGAGTCCGACCAAAGCTCGGGAACGCGCCAACCAAAGGCGGTTGAACAGCCCCGCTGGCATTGGGAGAGAAAGGACCTGTTTGTGCTGGCGGGCCATGAGGAATTCCGATTTGGGGGACAAGGAAGGGTTCGCGCGAATTGCCAATACGCCTTATCAACTGGCCAAGAGGCTCAAACTCCGAGTCTTCGACTTTCTTCACACGGAGATCGGGGCTGAAGAAGTTTGCCTTGTACCAATCGTTCATCTCGAGACCAGTGAAGGGACCTTGCTGCCGACCAACGGGATCCAAGTAAACCCATCTCATTCGATCGGGCATCACCATAGTTCGAGCCTGCGGATCAGAAGACTGGGTTCCATTGAATGGAGTTCCGCTGCTTTGAGGGAAGTCCTGAGCCTGAGAGGTGGTAGTGATGCCGCCATGTGTTGACTCGGAGGTAGCGGGAGGGCGCGATGCAGCGGCGATTAATTCGTCGAACATGCCTCTGCCACCCCTCATGGGGCTGCCAGTATCGCGAGTGTGATCACCAAAAGTGTTTCGTCCTATGGCACCGAGAGGGTTGGTTTGACGGAGATCGTGGCTGGAGTCAGAAAGGCTCTCAGTTTCGTGACCCTGCATCTGGGCCTGCATAGCAGGAGGGAATAGGGAACCGAGTCTGCTACCACGGCCTATAGAACCAGAAGGAGCGAGACCCGTAGTTCCAGGAGGACCAAAGACGCCACCAAAGTGGCTGAGCGAAGGCGAGTGAACATCTCCGCCAAAGAGAGAGCTACCAAAAGCACCGCCGAAAAGGTTACCTGACCGCTCTCGATCAGGGGTGGCCGAGGTGGGCCAGCCCGACAAGTTGCCGTTACCAATAGATGGATACGCCCTGGGCCCAACGCTCGAAGTTTGGCTGCGGTCACTGCCATCAAAGCCACCTGGGCCAAGTGGTCGAGGAAACACACCACCACCGAAGCCAGGCGCATGATCAGTACCACCAAATCCGTGCCCATGCGATCGATCTGCTGCCTCGTCTCCTCCTTCACCTCGCTCGCCTGGGGGACTCGCGTATGGATTCGTTTCAGAGGGGCTCAACGGTTGGTTGTCCTGTTCAGTCGGCTGGTTAAGCAGGTTTAGACCGGCCATGCCGAAATCACCAGCGGACCCCTTCACCGGCGTGTCGAAGGCCTGATTCCGCTGGGATTGGTGAGACATGGAAGGCGGACTGGTGTCTTGAGCACCACCTAAGACGGCACTACCAGACAAACTTTCCTCGCCGCCGAAAGGATCCGTGTCGGTACGAGGACGTCCTGCAGCGCGCCAGGAAGCAGCCGAAGTCTCGTTCGCTCTAGCCGCCATGTTGTCGGAACTGTCCTTTGGTATCAAATGCGCCAAGCGTGATTCGCCTCGAGTGTTACCAGGTCGCTTCTCACCAATGGCAGAAGAGCTGGGGATTGCGAAGTTTCCGAAGCTGCCTATGCCCGCAATGGATGACGTTGCACCGGTAGGCTGGCCCCACAGAGATGCTGTGGCTCCAATCGCCGAGTTACCTGAGGTGGTATTGCTTCGAATCAGACCACCGAAGGGGTTGGCAGTGGTCCTAAGTTGATTTCCCTCGCGCAGATTGGGGTTCTCTTCGGGTTCCTCGAACATGGTTTCCTTGACCTCGGCGTGCTTCCTGCCAAACCATGAAGATGAGGGAGTGGTCGCCGTGGGAGACGTCAATCCGCCACCTCCCGAGTACGGGTTGGTGTCCGTTGTCTCTCGTCGGCGCGTGCCTGGCCTAGAGGCAGACGACGGCGACGCAAGTGAGAAGTTGTTAGGTGCTCCGTGGGACACGGATGTCTTACGTCCGTTCAGTGCTCCAGCCACATGATTCCCATCCTTGTTCTGTAGCGGCGGGGGCTTCACAGGAGAATTGACATCGGATGAGAAGCGATCCTTCTCTTCCGAGGTCAGCTCTCGCAGAATGCTCGCCGTAGATGATCCAGTGGCATCCCAGCAGACATCCGGCTGTTGAGGCAGAGGGGCATGCGAGTCAATACGATTTCCCCAGCCCCGCGTACCACCGCTGTTTCCATTGAGTTGCCCCGGGCTCCATCCTGGCATGAATAGGTGGGATACGTCGATTTCGGGGGCGTTATTGAAAATGTCCAGTAGCTGGTCTCGCGTGTATGTCTGACGTGCAGGCGATGCATCCGTCACGGTTGCCAGCTGCTGGACCGGCTCTGTCGAAGGCGCTTGGTTGAGAGACTGGCTGGAAGGAGTCGTCGACGGCCGGCGGAAGGTTAAGGTGCCATTCGTCGGACGTTGACGCGACCTACACACGAGAAACAGGTTAGCAGGTCTGGGCTTGGGAAGAGCAGAATGATCCACAGCGTAGGTGCGCGGGATCGTCAATAAAAGCAGTGTTCATCGGGCAGATGGCGGGTAAAATGTTTAGAACAAAATAATCAATCACTTGAGACCTGTGAGGTGCCGCAGTGGAGCTTCATTCTACATACCACTCGCCACTAGTACTGCCTCGAACATCACGACTGCTATTCTGGCCCGCGGCGGCAGAGGCGAAACTGGAAGGTAGATTTGTCGACGGCATGTTGACTTTATGTATCGGGGGGTTTTCGGGTCTAGTCGGTCGCGAGTCGAGCGTGCGATGACTGCAGGAGGTTTTGGGCTGTTGGGTATCGAGGGGCTTTTTTTTCGTGTCGCGAATCGATCACGCAAAATTGCTTTCAAGAGGGTCGCGCCGCGTGGGAAGACTTGTGCCGTGGGGTTGACGACAAAAGGATAAAATCGAAGGTGGGAGCTATAGCTCGTGTCGAGTAGGTGTGTCGTGATGGTACAATGGAAGGCTGCAGATGGCTAGGTCGAGAAAATACGTGGACAAGATGGGGTTCGTCCAGAGAGGATGTCGAAATTTCAGACATCGACAAGTCCAAATTGAAAGCTAGTAGTTGAGGCTAATAGGTGGTCACACCAGCCACCCCTCCTCCGCTTGAAAGGGCCGGGGCTTGAGCTCACTAGCCTCAACTGCCTCAGGCGAACAGGCCACCTGCGGTTCTAAAGTTGCACGTGCAAACGAACAGGAGGTAGACATTTGGACAATACGTTGTCAAGAACAAACCGTGAAACATTTGCTTGCTACGAAATATGTCGAGTTATGCAGACCTTTTCTCGCTAGAGGCTCCATGGGATATCAGCGACCTACAACTTCACCAACAGATGGACCCAGATTCAGGCTTACTATAAAAAATTTGGTGACATACCTCGGGATGCAAAACTACAACTTTGGAAGCCCAGCGTTACGAGTCTCAAGACACGATGTGATATCGGACACACATAGGTCATTTACAATTGATAGCAGCTCTCCTAGCGCATCGTGTTCCTGTCGGCTTAATGTGAACTTGTGAAGTCAAGTTGACATCCAAGTCGCCGCAGCTGCGGCCAATATAAGCAACAGTGAGACAGCAGGGTTATGGCCTTCACAGTTTCTTCTTATCAGTCAACTTCCAAGTCTGAGCCTCTCGAGCGATGAAGATACTCCAAGCCGGGCTTGGATTCCCAAAAATAATGACATTTCTGCCCGCAATTCGTGTCCTCCGAGATCTTCTGACTCAGTGATGCAGTTCACGAGTTTTACTCCGAGTCACTTGCCCATTTTACATTCCAAATGTGCCATAGCCTTGGCCCTTTCCAAATTCATGGATCTGTAGGACTTTCACGTCATGTTATTGGGACCATTGTTGAACTTCATCCGCTATCACCTGCCCATGCCCTACTGGTCTGGTATGACAAGCTGCGGGTTCATATCGAAAGACTGCATGTTTAGAAGTTATAAACTTGCAGCAGTGCTTTTGATAATAAGCGGAAGTTTCACGTATGGACCACAACCTTCGCTGATGCTATTGGATTTAATACAAGGCATATATAACTGGTCGCAATACTCAATAGGCAGGAGTTAAACATGACGCGGCAAGGATTTGTCGGACCTCATACATAACAGCTAACATGACCATATTCTGCCAGAGTGGGTCCACTCGCCTTTTGGCGGGGTGGTCCAAGAAGGATCAGCTGCAAATAACACATGTCGGTTTTGTCTGGCTATGGCACAATGTAACAGAACGAACGAAGCCAGCTTCCTGGTAGTGTTTTCATCTCAATACAAATATGGAAAAGGGGGGTTCTTCAAATGCATCAGATCTTCAAGTGTGAACCTAACTATTTACTGTTCAAAAAAATCAGACTATTTCCAAGAAGATTCCGGAAATCTTAGCTTAGTCAAGTCATCACAGCACAGCAGCCCATCATGGTTGGCACTAGTTAAACAACTTATATGTGCCGCCAGCATACACCCTCGGGCGTCCCAAAAGTGCAATCCATACGCTGACATCGACTTCACCTACTGCCGCTTTATTCAATCAATACTATCGATACAAAGTTGAAGAAAGCGAAACCGAGGTGGTTTATGCCCAAGGACTCTTGATCTCCTCGTCCGCCATATTATAGGTCGAGATGGGTTGTAGTCTGTTTATTACTCTGTTAGACCACGCGATTGCAGACTATCATAACATTTAAGTCGCCGCAATGATGGTAAAATCTCCCGATTATTACTCTTGCTACTACAGTGCTTTGAACAAAGAGTATTTCGCTCCTCGCTTCCTAGTATATAGCTCTGAGAAAGGGAGAAATCACTTGACATTTTGAGCAAATATAGGAGGCAAAAGTGAGAAGTCAAGCCAACACTAAATGCATTTCTCTGCATCTTGTGATTCGCAAGTATGGGGATAAATAACGCCTTATAAAATGCTATTCTAACTATATATGCACCATGACCGCCATGCTCCGTCCAACCTATGCCTATTTTTGTGTTTTAACACCATCATGCCGAAAAGCCAAAAGTACATATATATGCAAAAAGAAACCAAAGATGATGCGCTATCTTAGCCACGCCAAACAACAAATAACAAATGATTGACTACCACATCCTAGCCGACAGGATAAACTCGGGGTGGGTGATTGCCCTAGATCCAGATGACAAGAAATATGCCAGTGGCATGCTTATATCTAGCGCTCTAAGCAGCAGTAGCAGTAGGCTTCGCGGGCGGTGTACCAGAGGGAGGAGTACCCGCAGGAGGAGTTCCCGCTGGAGGAGTACCAGAGGGAGGAGTGCCAGAGGGCTTTTCAGAGCCACTAGGGCGCGGGAGAGTAGTGAAAGTAGAGGCAGCTTTAACCTGGACGTTGGTCTGAGCAGGTGGGGTGCCGGAAGGCGGGGTCCCTGAGGGAGGAGTGCCGGAGGGAGCTGCGCCTGAGGGAGCCGGACCAGTGGGCTTGCCGGTGCCGCTTGGGGGTGCCCGAGCAGTAGAGTCGGCTCGGGCCTGAACTCCACTTTGAGCAGGCGGCTTTTCGGAGGGAGGAGTGCCCGAAGGAGGAGTGCCCGAAGGAGGTGTGCCAGTAGGGGATGTACCAGTAGGCTTGCCCGAAGGCTTGCTCTTTGCGCTCGAGGCAGCCCGAGCATTCGCATCAGCCCTAGCTTGGACTTGGCTATGAGGCGCTCCAGTCTGAGCCGGCGGCGTACCAGATGGAGGAGTGCCTGAAGGAGGTGTGCCCGAAGGGGGTGTGCCAGTAGGCTTGCCCGAAGGCTTGCTCTTTGCGCTCGAGGCAGCCCGAGCATTCGCATTAGCCCTAGCTTGGACTTGGCTATGAGGCGCTCCAGTCTGAGCCGGCGGCATACCGGACAGGGGAGTTCCCGAAGGAGGGGTGCCAGATGGAGGAGTGCCCGAGGGCATACCTCCCGAAGCAGGTGTTCCAAAGGGAACTCCCGCTGGAGTGCCAGTGGGAGCCTGAGCATCATTCTTGGTTCCGGCTCGGGGCTCATTGATCGGGATGGCGGCCGCGAGAGCAGCGAGGGCGACCATGGTGTTGAGGAACTTCATTTTGATGACGATGAATGAGTGATGAGGATGTAAAAAGGATGATCGTTATGGAAAGATTTCGTTGATGAATGTGAAAAGCGATGATCGATCTGGCGCTGCCTGACTGTTAAGAAGGGGATTGCAGTCCTGCTGTGGTTGTTGAAATTGAAGATGAAGGTGAAGGTGAAGATGGTAGTGATGGTGGTGATGAGATAGTTTCGAAAGAACGCAGCGCGATCAAATGATTCTTATAATCATATCTGTCTCTAATGCCTCTTCATCACCTCTTGCCAAAATGTCGTTCCGTCCATCCATTACCATGACTTACAACTGCCCACCTATCCACCCTTCCGTCCTCTTAGTCCTCCCCGCCCCCAGATTGCGTATCGTCGAACGTGAAAGAGTCCATTTCCAGCCATGCACATGGCCATGCCGGAGTTGAGTCGTCACGTCGAACGAAGTTCGACTTAACTCGACCCGCTCTGTCGTTATACATAGAACGGCTCCAATTGCTGCGCTACTGCTACTGACCCGATGATTGCAAGCTGAACTGCGCATTTGTGAATACTGATTGGCTGTGGGCTGACGAGGGTCCTAGATCGCATTGATCGATATGGAGCTGCGATGTTTCGAGCCCAGGCCCTTCCGAACAGAGCCACCTCAGAGTCGCCAGCCCACTTATCCGCTTAAAGCAGGCGCCACAAAATAATTACGTGGCTGTCCAAGCCCCTTTTTACTTGCAACTGACTTCCACCAAATATTGCGCAAGAGTATATAAGTAGTGTATATAAGTCGTGGCTATAGGCGGCTACCTCCGTTGGGTCTGTGCATTACTATGTCAGCATGGGTTGAATTGAGCAATAGCGGCCGGCTAACACAAAATCGATGCTAAATTTATTCTGACAGCTTGATTGCGCGCCATTTATAGCATTTCAACTCACTACTCCAGCCAATCCCACGCTCTCATATGATATATGCTTGTTTTGTTTGACGAGCCTTAGCTCTTGTTTCCTGTCTTGTTTACCTTTCTTGTTCCACAACCTTTCTTGTTCCACAAGATTCTCTTTCTTCACGCATACTCGAAGCGAAGTCAATTAGAAATTCAATTCTCTGCACCATTTACCATTTACCAGTGCACGAACTCCCCTACCCGACAAAGCTCACCCGATCTGCCCACTTCTCACTCCCTTCATGCAGAATCCCCATTCTTCCTCCCACAAACTCGTCACAAAATCCACACTCCCATTGTAGTGGGGCAAGGCCGGTCATCAGGGTAAATAGGTGACAGGTGCGGCGAGGGCTTTCTTTTCTTTTCTTCAAGAAGTGCGCAGAGACAGATCAACTCTTTTGATCATCTCCTCTTCCGCTTTATTATGATCTTCTTTTCTTAGTTAAGTACTTAGTTCTGATTTAGTTCCTACATTTCACATACATATGTATTTAGGTATAACGCAGTCCACAAGCGAACGGGTCACCCAACCGAACGGGTCACGCCCATAGCAAAAAATAGAACTAAACTTCCTAACTTTACCACGCAACTAATTCTCGATGGATTCTGCTCAAAAAGAATCTCAATTACTCCTTGCAACTCAGGCTATCAGAAATGACTCAACACTTAGTATCCGACGTGCTGCAACAATCTACAAAGTCTCGAATACTACTCTCCAGGCGCGTCTTCAAAAACGTCAATCACGTCGCAATATCGAAGCCAACGGTCGGAATTTAACAAAACTAGAAGAAAATACGATTATTCAAAGGATAATTGAGCTAGATTTGCAAGCATTTCCTCCCCGGCTAAGTGCTGTTGAAGATATGGCAAACCGACTGCTACGCGACTCGCATATCACAAAGGAGGACTTTCTTCCGGCATTTTGCGACGCGTTCAAGAAGAGCATGACCCAAAGCAATATTCTTGCAGGCTTTCAAGGGGCTGGGCTTGTGCCTTTAAGCCCAGATATTGTTATTGAGAAGCTGGATGTGAAATTACAGACTCCAACGTCCTCCCGGCCCCCTACGCGGGAAACCCTTCCTTAGGCTTCTCGGACGCCAAACAACCCAACCGAGGCTACTTCGCAATCCGAATTTATTAAATCTCGAATTGCTAGGCATCAGAATAGCTCCCCGACGTCAATTTACGATGCTATCGATCAGTTTTCGAAAGGAGCGCGGAGTATTATGCATAAGATGGCTTTACTCCAAGCTGAGGTCGCCGAACTTCGAGAGGCAAATGCTCTAATTAGCAAGCGGCGCAGGGCCAAAAAAACACGAGTACGGCTTGGAGGATCACTTAATTCACAAGACGTACAAGATCTTCAAGATCAAAAGGACGTTGCGCAGCAAGTACAGCAGGAAATGCGTGGAAATAGCGCTGGATCAAATCGTTGTGGTTGCGAAATCGTGTTGAATTCCATGTTTTGCTAGTTGGCGTGACCCGTTCGGTTGGGTGACCCGTTCGCTTGTGGACTACGTTAGCTATTTTAAGAATCTATTCTTTCGTCTTTACCTTAGTCTTAATAACTATAGAAGGCTTTATTTCGCTCTGATCAGACTAACCTAGTGCTAGTAATAGCTTCAATTCGACTCCCAGAAAGTCATAATGCTTGTAGCAACTTCGCTCTTATAACCAGCGCTACGAGCTTCGTCTGATGAGACGTTTAATAGAATTCGATAGTGCTGGAGTCGTCTTGCCAGTGTGCTAGGTGGGGGGTATATCCTACTGATCGCCTGACACCGTTTCACCATCCCTCCCTTTCGGCAACACGTAAATTAGCCCTCTCCCATAATGCAACCTGAGCCTCCTCTCCACATCCACCAGTCCCGCGGACCCGTCCTCCCTACTTCCCAACCCCACTGTCAATCCCGAAATCCGCCTCATAGATCCCCTCTGCCACAAAACTAGTCCTCCGTCTTCCCATCTCTTCTCGCACCATGGCTGATCGTAGTCTTATCCTCGGTATTTCGTAGCGTAGGAGATGGACTAGACTGGTGAGATGATGAGTCGTGTTATCCGATAATGTAGTTCGCAAGGCCAGTGCTATGGAAATCAGTGGCGAGGCGAGGATTTCGGAGATTGACAAGCAGGAGATGGCGCAGGTGATCACATAACCCATGTGCCCCTGCGACAGCGCCGGGGAGAAGCGGGAGCCTGCGTAGACGGCGCCGTAGCAGAAGGAGTGGATGCGGAGGTGATTTTCCAGATGAAGGCGATTAGGATACCGTTTGTGTATGCGTAGGGTGGCGTTGAATTTGGTGAGGTGGAAGAGCTAAGTTCATCAGAGAAAGTAAACTTCAGATCAGCGATGGTAGATGCAGGAATATGGAAATAGCGCCATAGTGCTGGGCCATATAAAGGTGCTTCCGTAGGTGGCAGTTGTCAGACCTGCGATGGAATGCGGAATTGCGCGAGACGGTCTAATGTTGCGCTACTTCTGCTGAACGAACCGGAACCAGTGTTTCTCGATCAGTATTCTCCACCCAAATTTCAGATACGTTCAGTTTTTGGCCTGAGCAGAGCTTGGCGAAGTATCTGATGAATACGGCGTTGGCGTTCCCGTCCATGATGTTGGACTGAGCACATACGGTCAGGAAAATGCCTGCCCGAAGCAGATTGGCCTGCATAAAACTAACTGGCAGGGCGATAACTTTGGGTTCAATGTACGGAACCCGTATCCTAGACTTAGGGCTCGTCCATCGAGCATGGACACGACGCGTCTGCCTTGAGGATTTTTGAATATGCCTGGAGAATAGTTTTGCAGTTCTTCACGCACAAGAATTTGTCGTCTCCTTCGTGCGGTGAATAGGTGACTGCCTTATATGTTCCTAGCAGATCCTGTGTTGATGACTTGGCCAGTAAGCCAGAGAAATATCGACGCTATCTTGCTGGCTGTGGCTCTGGGAATGGCTATAACACGCTCCTCTGCATATTCGTCAACTATGGTGAAGCCGAATGTTAGTGTATGTGTACACTCTGGTGAATTGACCTAGTGGCCTAAGTTCAGGTGGTGTCGACATAATACTAGTAATGTGGATTAACGCCGAGTCGCGCATATCACCGAGTCGTGCACTTTTTACTATACTATGATGTCAAATTCAATTAAATATCTACAACAGATTAAAGTTGATTGGAAATTATTCAGAGCTATACATATCTGATAATTCTAGTTCGATCGACAAGTCTATTAATAATGTACGGTCCTCTTCTACTTACTACAGCGCCATATAGTCGAGGGACTAGCCTTTTCTTTACCCCGCCTTGAAAGCTTGTCCTCCTTTACCTAGGTATCCGCGTCCTTCCGGGCCAAAATATCCAGGGAATCCTCGATAGTAAGTGTACCTCCTAGCGGGACACGCGTTTTTTTCCGCCCTCTGACGCTTGCTTAGTGCCTTATTTACCTTGAAAGGCCAGAGCAGTTAGACTTTAGAAGGGTATTCTTATTGGCTAATTGAGTTATGCTCTTCGTAAAGTAGCTAACAGTATTGAAATTTAGGATCGGAGAGCTTCCATAATATCTAGCGATTCAGCTAGTACTAAAATCAGACTACGAGAGGGCCTCTATCGGGTTATGTAGCGTTTACGAAACCTAAGGGTTAGTATTGACGTGGGGTTAGGGTTTTTGGGTGCTCGTTTTCGTTTTTTGGGATATTCAGACGAATTATGTAAGCGCGATCTTGAAGGGTATTTAAGACCTTATGTACGTAGTCACTTTCTTGAGAAAAAGATAGAAATCAAGCGGCCTTTTCCACAGTAATATGAACCAATTTCTCTTTACTTGGACAGGCATTCAATGTCTGACGTACCTGTTGAGGTACTTTCTGTTCCCCTATATATCTGATTGTGCTTGTTGAGGCCATTGTTCCCATCTTTCACCTGTTGAGGTGGAGGTTCCTTTTCTTCCCCAGCCTGCTGAGACTACAGTTGTTAGTACCTGTTGAGGTACTTGTCGTTCCGATCAAGGCAAGGAGGTCTTGATCTTGTTATTTCTTTCCACCTCCCGGATAGTAAGGTCTTGTTGAGGATCTTGTTATTCGTTGCCATCATCTTCACACCTTAAACCTGCGGGTGGTTTCACTGCCCGTCGTCAGTATGTAGAAGAGGGGGGCTCACGGGTAGGATACAAGCCGGAACTAGTCCTTAACAATCTTGAGGTCTTCGCAGAGAGCCCTCTGGAAGTCATAGAAAACGCGTCTTTAACTCTAGGGACCGCTTTACGAAGCGATGCGCATAGAGCTTGCCGACGCGTCGCGTACCCCGCGTCGCGAGAACAGAATTAGCTATGTCTTTCACACCCTCTGTCCGGGGAGGAAACCCTCTTAAGTCGAGTCAAGTATATGCTAAATAATAGCTACTTCCTCTATATCCGCGAATAGTATGCTATTCGGCCAGGTTTCGGTACGCGGGGTACCACCGTAGATTCTATCGCGGAGGGAGGACTCGGGTGCACCGTATGGCTTCGCTGCCCGTCGTATTTAGTCAATCGGATAGCTTCGATAGCGAGGTTAATTTTAGATTCTTAGGTCTGAACTGACATTATGTTGTTATTAAGGAAATAAGTGTTGAAGTTCAAAGGTTGGACAAGTGCGCGACTCGGTGATAATCCACGTCAGTGGACACGACGATTAATTCTATTTCCTTTTTATTTTGATAACGGAAAAATTATTAACTGAGTCGTGCGAGGAAAGTAAACATTAAGGGGGGCTGTCATATTAACAACATGAGATGGAAGACGACACTTGGGATGGCATGAAGGACTACAGAGCTAACCTACTAGTGGTCGCAATTATCAATCATAGCGGGGTAAGCATAAGTTGGCATCTACCAAAATACATGATCCAGATCTCATCTCTTCAAATCCTCGATCAGTCATTTTTTCAAGCAGATGCATCAGCGTCGCATCGCATTAGCGCGCTATGACATGGGCACGTTTTATGATATACACTCCTATTCCATCGACGTGATTGGTAACATCTAACTGATTTCGAGGAGAAACAGAGGTGAATAGGGCGGTACTTTCCACACATTGTCTTATCCCACCCTCATCCACCAACCCTGGCAGGACATTTCAAGTCTTGCTGGGAGCTTTTGAAGGCTTTGGTTGCGACAGATAGAGGTTAGCTGTAAAAATGTCAGTATTCTCACGATCTGGCAGATAAATCCAAGTTCAAATCATGACGTAAATCAGGCATGATGCAGATCATCTTAATTCTGGGGCAGTATCACTGTTGGGACTCATCTTCAACCCAATTTCCCATTTCACAACCAAGATTTCTAGGCGACCGCAGTGTTTTCAGCCGCGCATGACCCAGGGATGCACTCGACGGCGATTGCTGCATTGTGTCGCTCGAGTATTCTGCACCAGTGGGGGGCTTCCTGGTCAAAGTTGCTATTGTTGCTATCACCAACTAGCCAACCCAACACATGCGCCGGGTATTGTTGTCCTGGCTGAATCACCGACGCGCCTGACGCGCCTGACGAACATCGGGCACTGGACAAGAAGGAGCTTGAGCGGTTTCAGCAGGGTACGCACGGGTGACCGTCCAACAAACACTTTTGGGGAAGTCCTTTGCATTACCAACAGCAAAGCAGGATAACTAGTGGTATTACTTCTTGCTTGTCCAAGATATGTTGGTTGTTGTTATACGAGATGTGGAAATCATATTAGGCTTTCATCGCATCGACACACTTCTCTGTGTCGTAATTTGTGTTTATTTTGAATCGTACCGCATTTACAAAATGGCCAGCATGCCGTGCCCAAACAAAGCTGACCACGTCGGGGGGCTGGTCCTCCTGAGAAATTAGTTTCTTATACCCTTGTTGCAAACATACACATTTTACTGTCCACTCTCCCGATGCACATCCGACAGTGAGCCCTCAATTTTCCACTGGATTACAAGTCAGCCGAAGCCACAACAACCACGATCGGAAGATAATGTCGACGAATTTTTCATTTCGATAACGGTCCGTGGAAACGGCCCTGACACGTATAGCTGGCTGAGCTGCTGGTACCCGTTGCGCTGGCTCGAATGTTTGGCTGTTACTGTTACACGACAGTCCTGTTCGCTTACACAGCTTTGCCCAACCTTTGTGGTTGTCCACGGGCAGCGACGACGCCGACGAAAAACTATTTGTGCCCGAATCACCGAGTGAAATTTGCCCCGAATTACTTTTTCTACTCCATCATACCCATTTTTCCGGCACAGGACTCGAACGTCGTTGCGCAATATCGCTGTGTAATCTACAACCCCGCGCCCAAATCATATATCAGTGTACCCGAATCCAACATAATAGCCTTCTTCTTGCATTTTGCCCAGTTTGAGGGAGATAGAGGCTCAGTCAGGAAGATGGCGGCCAGCTGCGGGGAACCACACCCTGCCTTCAAGGACGCCGTCGAAGAGAGTCTGAGCAAGCGTGACACAGAGCTCGAGACTTACGACCATGTGGAGGAGAGAAGGAAGAGGCAAGAGCTATCGGCCATTTGTGAGCAGAGCCTCAAGGAGAACGCGGAAGTGTCCATCACAGAGCACCAAGTAGAAGCACCCCGACAGGATGACGAAGGACGGAAGATCATAGTTACGGTGGTTCGGCCAGCCGGGGTAGAGGAAATTCCTAGCAATAGGCCGTGTATATTCTTCATCCATGGAGGTGCTATGGTTGGCTCTACTCGATTCGCCGGCCTTGACGTCAATGGACCACTGTGGGTTGAAAAGTTCAACGCTATTACTATCAGCGTGGAGTATGGAAGAGCACCAGAAAATATAGGAGTTCAGCTTGCTACCGACTGCTACTTCGGCTTGCTTTGGGCGTGGCGCGAGCGTGCAAGGCTAGGCATTGACCAAGACCGACTCATGCTGTACGGAGCATCAGCCGGGGGTTGCCTCGCGGCTTCCGTGGCTTTGATGGTTAGGGAGGATCTCGTCAGGCAGAGACCGGTGCCCAAATTATGCGGTCTGTTTCTGGAAGCCCCCATGCTCGACGACAGATGTGAGACGGAGTCGTGCAAAGCCATCACTCATGGGCCTATTTTCAACGGAACGCTGGCAAAGTATGCTTGGGGATGGCTCCTGGGCGAGTCCCAAGCAAAAGGATCAGAGGTCTCGATGCTCGAATCACCGGCTCGGGCGGTCAACCTTGGTGAACTGCCAAAGACCTACATCGAAGCCGGGACGTTTGACCCGCTACATGATGAAGGCCAAAGGTTCGCGGAGCAGATCAACGGGGATGGTGGCGAGGCGATTTTCAGGTCTTTCCCAGGGGTCACTCACGGATTTGTTGCTGCGCGGCCAGACATTGATATCTCCAGCGAAGCTATGGCTGAAAGGGTGAAATGGATTGGGAACATCTTCAATGTTGAGACTTGAAGGGTCTCACATGCCGGGAAAGCAACATTGGATCGAAGTTTGCAGGCTACTGGGACTTCTCTTTAGGTCGGCCTTGATGTCATTGGATATAGGATGGGATTAGACAAGATAGACGCGATTACCTAATCAGGTATCATCAACTTGTGCGTTAAATTGATCTAGGTTATTAGACATGGTAACTTCACGTTCGAGAATGAAGCAGCAAGTCTGTGCTCACGGAATCACAATTGAGATTTTGGAATTAACGTCTCACACCCACATCCGGGACACCCCCACATGTGGGACGCCCTAAAAATGACGCTGTATATTATAACCATTAACTTCAACCTTTTTTATTACTTATTCTGATGCGACTACAATACAGCTTTCACCGTCACTAGGGTTTTCAGACTCGCTAGACTCATCTGTGCTATCTTTAATTTCACTAGCCTCGATTTGAGCCCTCCGAATAGCCTTGATATTAGTAAACTTCGAATTTGGGCTCATCTTGACCTTCCTCCGCTTCCTAGCCCTACTAGCCTCGAGCTCTGCCTCTATTGCCTTAATCTTTCGCTGTGCGACAGCTAACTAGTAGTCCTTCTCATCAAAGCCCTTTTGAACTTTCCGAAAGAGTAACGTACCCCACAAGCAAGTTGGCCACACAAGCAAGTTGGCCACACAAGCAAGTTGGCCACACAAGCAAGTTGGCCACTTTTCTTGGCACCGTACGAACAACCTTTTAATTAACATCTTTACACATACCAAGATGGGATCGAATTGGAAAGAAAGCGACATGATTCTAGCGTGTCAGGCGCTTCAATCGAAACCCGAATTAAGCATCCGACGCCCTGCCCAACTCTACAATGTCCCTCGTACAACTCTAGCTAACCGAAAACGCGGACTACTATCTCGACGCGATACTCGACAATCTAGTCAAGAAATTGAAGACCTAATACGGGCGCATATAACCCATATCTCGAAGGAGGATTTCTTTTCGGCATTCTATAGGGCGTATCGTACGACTATAACTAAATCGAATATCCAGGCAGGTTTCATGGGGACAGGACTTATTCCGTACGACCTGGAATATGTGATTTCACAGCTGGATATTAAGCTACATACGCCTACACCTCCTGGGAGCTCGTCTGGCGCCCCCTTAATCTGGGAATCAAAGACTCCAAATAACCCAACCGAGGCGCAATCCCAGTCTGAATACGTTAAAAACAGAATCGTACAGCATCAGAATAGCTCCCCGACGACAATACTTACGGCTATTGACTAGTTTTCACGTGGTGCGACGGCTGTTATGCATCGGTTAGTTTTATTTAAGGATGAGGTTACTACACTTCGGAAGGCTAATCAAGAGCTAAGCCGTCGTCGAAGGACTAAAAATCGACAGCTACAAGATGGAGGATCTTTTAGTTTACGAGACGCTCAGGACTTACAGTTTCAACGGGATATTGAACAGCAGCTATAGGATGATATACGTGTAAGTCGTCGTCGTACGAGACCGGCCGAACCACGCCGACGGCGCTGTAGGATCTGCGGAGAGCCCGGACATAATGCTCGTACTTGTGAGAATGATAAAGATACGTACGAGGAAGAGGATTCCGATTGGTTTGAATTATTATTTTTTAGTTTAGTTAAGTTATTGAAGTTATTCATACGGTGCCAAGAAAAAGTGGCCAACTTGCTTGTGGGGTACGTTAGCCGCTGGGTATTTGGATCACTATCAAGCTTGCTGAATAAGCTGAGTTGATCTTGGAGCTCATATCTCCTCTTAGGCGTTGACCAGGCTACTGCTGATGTGTCTAACGCCCAGTCCTGACTACCCTTACTATCAGAGTACCCTTTGCAAGTCTGACTAGGCTGTCTGATTGGTGCTGACGTATTCTCAAGGAGCAGGGGGCTCATAAGGGGTCTAGCTATGCTCGAAGGCTAGAGACCAGTATATTTCCATCCACTGATAATGTTCTTGACGGTCAATGCTTCTAGACGTGCCTTTCTATAGTAGAGGAGAAAGTTTCTCTTCCCTACGACAGTAGTAGTATCCTATTAGTCAAGGTAACCAAGCTCCTTCTTATAGGCTGCCTTGAGGGGTCCAAAGACTGACTGATCGAGAGGCTGGAGAACGTGGGATGTGTGTGGCGGTAAGAAAAGCAAGTGTATCTTGTTTATGAAGCAGAGGTACATAAACTCTGTCGTTTCGTGGCTACTATGCCCATCTAGGATAAGTAACCTAGTCTCTTCAGGGTCCTCTGGTTGAGTTAAAGGAATAAAGATCTTTTGTAGCTACTCAATAGCCGTAGAGTCTGAGGTCCACCTATTCTCTGTTGCTGTAAACCTCCAGGCTTCGTATAGAGTCAAGTCTAGAGGAAGAGGAAACCACTGCTGCTGGACAGACTTCCCCTTGTATATCACAAGTGGGGGTAGTACAGTACCAGTCGCAGAGATATGTCACGGTGAGCACAATTGAAGAGTCAAAACACTCTAATGCACTGTATTGACTTAACGATTCTCGACAAGGAAAGAAAGAGAAACTAAAACAGGCTGGCTCACATCTGAGGATCTTCAATCCCGCCTTCAGATGGCCAGTGCTCCTACGGGTCCACAGCTAGTGGGTTTCGTTGCATCGTGACACCGGCCGTCACAAGATACACTCTATAAGAGATGTCCAAGCTCGAGATCCAAGCTGTTTCTTCCGTATAGAACGAGTCTCAGATGATCCTAGAACAAGACCATTTGATCCTCTACCTTCTAGAATACCTGTCTCATCCATATTGTCTTAATAGCTTTGATCTCAGGGATAGCGAGGTATTTGAACCATTGCCTGATCACATTAGCTGAGGCTCCATTAATACGCTGGGAATCGATAGCTCTGCTTCTATGGACCTTGACTGAAGGGTTTCTCTTGATAAAAGCCTGGACCCAGTTCTTTCCAAGTGGTTCGGTGTGTCCGTGGATCTGTAGGATACGCTCGGCGAAGTCTTCGAGCTGTTGATGGGTTGGTGGGAGGCCTAGGGCAGCCTGGATTCGAACCCATTCAGCCAGATGAGATTACTGGGCTGGAGAGAGCCTCTGGTAGTCAGCGAAGGCTATATCTCTTGACTGGGCTCCCTGAATCCGTCGTGAAAGAGTAGACCTTGGGACACCATGCTCATATGCTGCTTTTCGGAGGCTTTGACCGGTAGCTATTGCTTGAAGAGCTCGATAAATATCATCTTCGGTATATTGACTCATATTAGTGTAAAGAAGACGTACGTAAAATATCGTAATGATTGAATCGATATTGGTAAAGAAAAAAGAGGTTGAAGTTAGAGGCTAGCGGTGTTGATGAGGCATTTTTGGGTGTCCCACATGTGGGGGTGTCCCGGATGTGGGTGTGGGACGTTAGCTTACTGGCCCAATGCCGTGTCCAGGCAGCGAACAACAAGGTTTGGAAACTACTCAAGTAGGATAATTGCCGGAAAAATGTATAGGGGCAACCGTTGCTCTTCAACTAGCCCATATATATACCCAATGCCAAACAATTCGATATTACGGCGATCAACGCTTTCATTCTTCAGCAGAATGTGGCAGTAGCGCATACACCACTGCCCAAGCCGCGAGAACGATTAGTGCATTAGCGCAGCCATGATACGTCCATACAGGAGAAATATTTTAGTGGCACGCTACATAATCCCGTGATTCTGTGACTTCTTATCGCTCAGTGACGCCGATCTCATAGTTCTAGTCCCCCGCCCACCATGCGTACTTTTTCTCGTTTTCTCCACCTCGTCCGAGTACATCAAGTATGTCGAGGAACAAGACAGGACGAACAAGGACTACTCCAGGTTCAGAGATAAGGAAGGTGCCAGTGATTCAGGCAAACGATCAACAATGCCTATATACTTTATGTGATATTACGCGCTGTTTGTAATGGGGAGGCTCGGGGTTTATTGGCTAGTGGACTAGCTGCTATATAACCTTCACCTAGATATCACGGGTTGCTAGTGCAAGATTACGATGATCTCGAGGCAGCATGCATATAAGTCTCTCTACAAGGCGACTCTGTGGTGCCCGAGAATCCTGAGGACGAGGTCAATTTTCATCGCGTGTGCTGTCAAGTCCTACAAGAATGGTCGTCTCTACGAGCTGGATAGAGATCGGAAGGGCCCGGTGAATGGAGGATGCCTCGAGCAGATTGAGGACGTTCTTTTGGGAAAGGCACTTGGAAGGATCAGAGAATCCGTTGGGAAGGTCGAATTTGGCATCGGGTTCAGACTGCTTGCGCTTGCACTATTCCAATCATGAGTTTCGTAGGTGTACGCGAGGGTACAGTGACGGATTAGAGAGGATAGTATGCCACAATGGTCTTCAAGTATGATGATGAATGAGTCAAATACAGGGTGGAAGTCCCGGCTCGGGCATGTTGAAGCCAAATGGAAGTATCCCGAGCAATGTAGGACACTCCATGTTGATGATGATGAGGATGGGGTCACGATAGTTGCTGCCCGTAGGACTATTTGATCATTATGAGGTAGCATATGATCAAGCCCCATGCATCGGCATCTAAGGGACAGGGCCAGTTCACTATATCAATCCCGAGCCAGTGGCTACATCTTGGATTTGCTTCATGGAATATGTAGTCGTGTTTATCCGTTCTATTACGATTGGTTAATTGGCTCCAAGTAGCGACAACAAGGTACGGCGCTCGTAGGACCCCCGAACCGTGAAAAACAGCGACTTAATAGTAGGCTCTCAGTGGCCAGTGGCAACCGCCTCCCGTAGACCAGACATCTTCAATAACCTTGCCAAGTTGCAAACCCACAATGAGGTCCTGTCTTCTAGTATTGGAATAGAAAATCTGAAAAGAACGGGATTATTCATGTTGACCTCACATCTAAACCGCATGTCAGTTGCTCAAATCCTCCGATATGGGCCGTCGTCAAATCGCCCAACAGCCAACAGCCAATGACCAAGACCGGGGCAGTGTCCTACGAAGCTCAATTATCCACCACGCTACGACCGAGCCGTGAGTCAAATCCCACGTGGGAGATCCGGCAATTCTAGCTCACCACAAGCTAACTAAGGTCTGAGATGACTCGATTTTAGTGAGATCGAATTCCGCCATGGATTCAGCCAATGAGGACCAACTGTTACAGGCTTCATCTTGTGGGTTGCAGGTTCGTAATCAACAGCACAGGAATCGAATCTCAATAGGATACGATTTACTACTCATCAGAAAGGACGAAACTTGGCTCGACGTGCTACGCAAGCTTACATGCATCTGTAACGAGAAAAGATTGTTGTTGGCACATCGATATTTCATGTAATGTAATGTTGCGAAATCGGTCCGTACCACTTCACTATTGAGATGCAATCGCCTCCTAATCCAGTCCAGTCCGTCCGCCCGCCAAGCTACGTGGCTCCCTCCCCCACAGTCGGGAGGAGGAAGAGCCTTGAAGCTAAGATCGGGAAACCAAGATTACAAGATTGGGCTGATCGGTGTCATCCATAAGCTCGGTACACGACACGCTCTTCGGAGGCTAGCTGACCGGTTGAGCGAAACGCCTCTCGTGTGATTTCCATTCTACCCTCGTTCGATATCCAACGCCCTACTCTACAATTCCGTCTTCTCTGCTGGGGTAGTTGGCTCGCTACTCCTTGGCGAATGGCCCTTCTCGTAGATTAACTAAACGTAAGTGGTGAAATTGCGGCAGAGAGGTATTTTTACGGCCTGAACCAGAAGAAAAAAAAGAGGCGTTGCAGGGATCTGAGGGATAGCACCGAAGCCATAGAAACCCTGTTCACGATCGCCTGCACAGGCGCCTCAAATGACGCCTGTGGAATGCATCTACCAATGACGAGCCGCCCGCAGCGAAAGAAACGCTATTCTATGTACCTTACCTACCTTCCTCTTGTTGCTGGCAATTGCTGGCAACACATCATTGAATCCTGCACCCAACAAGTAGCCCTACCAACTCGTTGCCCTTGTCGTAGTAGTTGTCTGTAGGTACAGCTGGCATACTGATGAGTTATTTGTAACTGCAACCGGACTAGGATTCCTGTGGTAGTGAAGAGGGTATAGGTACTTGAGTTTTATTCGAGAAAATTCGCTGTTACTCCAAATTAGACCACATCTTATGTGGCCACGAACTGTGCTACTGCAACGGGGCGCAAAACAAATCAAAACAAGAAAACACGCTGCGAGGTGTGTACTGAGCAGTCTGGCGGAGCCCTTGCGCGGGTTGGTGGTGTTCAACGGGACACTGTCAGCGTAGAAACTCACCAAGGACAAGCTCGTTAGTTTGGATCCCATCCGTCCTTCCGTCACCCGAGATCAAGCAGACCTTGACCCAGATCCAGCGATCCCTTGTCAACAGACAAGAAAGAGGTCTTGGTAGGACAGGGGATAGGGGAGGTCGCCAAACGCCGTGTGCTTATATTTTTTTTAGAAATCGCAACGCGCCGTCAAAAAGATTCTAAAAAGAAAATACAAGGACTACTATCTACTCGTGTTTCCCAGATGTAATGAATTCTGTTGTACCTGGGGTTTTCAAACTAATGAAGTTCTTTTGGCCGGCGGCCCTAAAGTGGCGCACCTTTTCACATAATGATTGTTCCCTTGTCGTTCTCTTATTTGAATGGACCCTCATCACGGACTGTTTTGAGACTGGTTCGTGTATGATTAAAAACAAGAGTTCAGCCTCCCAGATGGTAGTCAGCAAAACTCCCACGTGCGGGTTTGACGGAACGATGAGACATTGACCCAGGGAAGGCCCCATATCTAAAAGGCGCGAGGACCAGGATGGACTCGATATGACCAAGCTCCGAACCATTACCAGCGCAAAATTTCCAAGCTGTGCTCGGTGCGCCGTTATGCAGCTAGGTAAGTGCTAGTATATGAGAACCCGCATTCAAGCAAATAGGATTAGGCGATTGATGGCGTCCCATAGTTGTGATACGCACTAGACAGCTGCAATATGCAGTAACGAGGACAAATACCGCCTCGGACGGGATTATGTCAAGCCAGCCCTGGTCAGGTGATGAAAGCCTGCGACGCTGGCCAGTTCGGCGGCTTTCATCCCGAGGAGGGATTTCTGATTAGTCGTGCCATGGAAGTTTCAACAAAGATGATTTGAGCGTTTGTAAGGAGGCAGCAGAACCGGCTTCTCATTACCGCCCGCCAAAATGCGCCCATTGTCGGTAGGCATCGGCGGGTAGCCGCATGTGTTGGGAAGCGGGAGCGTAGTAAGGCCGTTTCCCATCGGCTCGGTACCAATATTAGAACCAATGGCACCGTCACGTCAACAGATTCGATCTCAACATCCCTGTTTCGATGGCCGCATCCCTGTTTCCGCATGCCCATGTATCTGTAGTCATGGACTCTTTGATGACGCCGAATCGCAACCTTGGCAGCAGAGTCTAGCATAATTTGATATGCTGTGACATTCAAGACATGAAGACCTTTCATATCGACTGGCTCGGTGTTAGAAAGACGATAATAGGCCGCACGACGCCGGTCGATAGCAGCATCGCATGGCGACCTGCTGCTCGCAAGCGATTTGATTGAACCAATCCTCTAAGTAGTTCGTGACGAGTTTCTCGCTGTCGTCTCGTAGCCCAATGGGGCTATAAGCGCGGCTTTCGTGGGCGGTTCGATGCGACACTCACACAGTATTCGCAAATTGTCTGCAGAGGCTTTCGCGTAGAGCCAGCAGCCCATTGGTCACTTATAGATAGACCGCCTTAAGTTGGTATTAGAATCAGTAGAAATAGATCAGAAGCCCTCGCGTCCGCAGATAGCCGACTCCTTGCATGGAACAAAATGGAATTCGAGACATCCGTTCTTGAAACAGCATCAATATTTTCTTCCAGCACCTATGTGTCCCACGCAGTCATACAAGGCCCCTAAAGAGCCCAGCATAGTAGCACTCAAGCCCATCATCACAATAAGAGTCGTAAGCTTGTATGGGGTTGCACAGCAGACATGCATGTCTGTTACGGACGTAAACAACTTGGGAACGAGTCCGGATTGGAGCACAGACACACGCCTTGCTGCAGGATCGAGGAACATACCGAGATGAGGTGGGAAAAGCGGATGACTGCGTTTCTAGGCATGGATGGTGTTGCACAATCCTTGAAGCCGGCGTAGATGGGCGTCGAGTTTGTAGCGGCCCTGTTCGGGACCTATTCTAGAACGCCGTTTAGAAAATTGTCATCCTTGGGTCTCTTGTCCGAACAGGAAAATAGTTGAGCCTCGATCGGTAACGACGGCCTATACGACGAGCTCGGAGGAGGTGGTGTAATCTCTGATTCTAGGGTCATTGTACAACCACTTGAAGCCAGCCACAGTGGTACAGACAAAGGGCCAAGCGGAATAATTCGTATAAAGGCAGAGAACCTTCTTATGTGAGGCTTTTAAGGGTTCCATGGCTGTTTTCGATTGCCTTGTTGACGTACAACTTGGCTTCCATTGGTCAAATCATGTCCATATATTGCTACACATACGGATAAGAGGAGGTCTAAGGACCTTCCATGGTGTAAGTCGGCAAGAATTTCACCCTCTTCTTATCGGGTCGAATATAGTCATCCACCACTCCGAATATCTGATAGAATCAAGCCACCGTGAAAATTTTGACAAAAGTAAAAAAAAAGGATGAGACGAGAAACCTAGATATACTCTCATCAGCATGACCGTGATTACGATTTGAACTCAACACACACAAGAAAGCCACCGGTGTAGTCCATGTTTAAACGTGCTTCAGGAAGCCACAGCACATGGACGAAGTGTCTTTGCCGATCTCTCATCCTAGCAGGAATCTGATATTGTAACCTGGTCATCGTGGGGCCCTTCAGAAAACCATTGCGGTTCCCTCATCCGCACGTATGCTGCAACGATAAGCAATCCCAACTATGTTCCCTGCATCGGACGTCAGTCATGTGCCCCAAGTATTCCAAATGCATCTGCCAATATCAGGCCTTGGCCCATAATGGTGCGGTTAAGCGAACTCGATGTGCATGGGTCTTCGACAGTGGCCCGAAGATGCAGGGAATTGTCGAATCTGGGTACATAGCAATATTGCGGTAGCGGTATGGCGGGGAATTAACGAGACCGCATGAGGTTTGAGTTGCACAGTCACGGTTCGAACTCCGGATGGTTGGAGCCGGACGTTAAACTGGCAGATCCGAGCCGGATGATTGGGAAGCGATACATGCAATGCACACTGATGCGGCAGGCTGATTAATCGGTGGCCTCCTGAATTCTGCGTCAAAAGGAAGGGGTTCCTCGTCTATTCATGGCTGCTGTC